GTGCTGAGCATAGCAGCGTCTCCTGCGTCTCTGTACGTGGCCCCTCCCACCAGAGCAGCACAAATGAAGACTTGTCTCTTTCCAAACGCTCTTAAAGGACGATCGTTTTGACTGTTGACCGTGACACCCTCATCAACAAAATGTCCAACATGAGAAAAGTGGAGCCGAGTGCAGGATTTTCCAAGAAAAATTGACTTATTCCTATTTACATACAAGTTAATGTTAAAACATTGTGTTGAAATTGAATTTTTCTTAAAGTTTCAGGTTGTTCATAATATTATAATATTTTAATAAGAAAGAGTTCATCAATTAAAAAAGATTTCTGTAATAGATTTGCGTTTCTCTGTACAAATATTTGAACTTATTGTTAGTTTTGGGAGTTTATATGCCATGAGTTTTCTGATCCGGCCCCTTTGGGATCAAAGTAGGTTGGATACGGCCCCCGGACCAAAATGAGTTTGACACCCCTGGTCTATATGATTATCCATACTTGTCTCAGAAGTCGAGTAAACATGTTCAGATCCAATATTTGAGGCTCAGAACTTCTTCAGACATCTGGTGAGATGAGGTTTTGACAATGACCTTTAGCCACAAAAAATTTAAACTGGAAAGAAAAAATCCTCATACCCTCTGTTTATAAAGGATAGTAACTTTTAAATATCATACTAATCTTTCATGTCATTATGTGTCTTACAAAATTCATACAACAACAGTGAGCAGCAGGCTTCAAAAACCATGTAGATTTCTATTTACCAATGTCTTTTTTTAAAACTATTTGACAAAAAAACTATAGTTACATCAAATCACAGAAAACAACCAACAAAACGACCTCCCCTGCTCCTCACCGCGTCATCTCCCAACACAGAAAAATCCTTTGATATATTTTAAGTTTGCAAATTGGTTCAAAACTATCATTTTTTACCATTGTATCTTGTTTTCTTCTCCCTTATAATTTCCTTTTTTTATCTCTTAAAATTACTGAAGTGTTCGCTCACAAACAGCCAGCGTTGCCGCGGGCGATGGGAACATAATGGGATAATGGTTTTTAGTGATTACATAGGCAGCAGCCCGTTGCCGTGGGAAACGACGAAATGTGGCGTGGACAATCGCTTTTGTCTGCTCCTCTGCGATAATAAAGAGAAGATAAAAAAAAAAACACAGCTCTTTGTTGTGGTCTATAATTCAATTTCTGTAAAGCTTTGTATGTTTATTTTTGCAAAATTATTGACGTCGTTTGTTTTTAAAAGGCGCGCGGTGTGATTATAACTGGAGGCACTGCTCCGTCTTGACATTTTTGCTGAAAGTCAAACACGTAAACAAGACAATAAACACTTGTATTGATCACAGGTTCATGAAACGCGCTATTTATGTCCATTTTGCATTTTTTTCTTGAGTTTTCAGACGATGGAACTAGAAACTTCAACCTACCCTGCAAAAAAACTAAATCTAATCGAGTTAAGATGACTTGAATTAAGAAAGTTTTTTCACAATTTGAGTCACTTTCACTTGACAAGTAAAATTATCTGCCAGTTGAATAAGACTTTTTGTACTTAAAATATTGAAAATACACCTTGCTGCACTTCAAATAAGAAAAACAACAACTTTTTGCACTTAAGAAACAAATAAACAAAGAATAAGAGAGAATTTAATTTAGAAAAACACGCTGTTGTTGTTGTTGTTCTTGTTGTGTATTTATTATTATTTATTATTATTATTATTACATTGGTAGATAAGTTTACTTTTACTCAAATAAAGTCAGATGTTCTTAGTTTAAGTCATTTTCACTTAATTAGATTTTTTTTTTTTCAGTTTTTACTTCACAGTGGAATATTTTATGCCATACTGTGGAATATTATCGGACTAACGTTGCCATAGAAACACAGAAGGAGGCTCTCATCTTGGTCAAATAAGGTTTTAAGGTCAGGTTTGTGGAGATGCAAGCCCACTCAGAGTAAGGATGTTTTTTCCAGTGCAACAAACACAACCAAAAAGAAAAAGACAAAACAAAACAAAACATATTTTTATTATTTAGTCTATTTTTGGCTAAAATGTTACATACTGTGACTTTAAATTAATCAAATCAGTAAATACTAAAATGTTGGACACGTTATGGGCATTTTCTTTGATAAAAATGTTGGTTTGTTTTGGTTATAAGTAGAAACGTTGAATTAGAGCCAAATATAAGTAAAATGCTGTACAACACTGCCCCCTGTTGACCGTTTAGTGAACTCACAGGTTCGTTTAACTGCTGCATCATTTCTGTGATTTTGAGTATGAACACTCTAAACCAGTGTTTCCCAAAAAAAAATTTTCTGGGGAACCATATTTTAAAAGTCACAAACCTTCGCGACCCAAGTCAATAGACATTATTCGTAAATCACAAAATAAAGGTGGATTTGACCATTATTGAACATTAATGAGGATATTTTATTGTTGACTGAGTGATCGTGTCTCTGAACAATTAGTTTTACTCAAGTTTTAAACAAAGCAGCAATAAAAGGATCCATAAGTCGCCTATTTGGACATTAAAAGTATTTATTTTTCTTTTCAACCTTCAATTGAACCAGCAATATTGGAACAAAATAGTCAATAAATAATTACAAAAAGATTAGAAATTATACAAAACATGTCTTAACATTTTAATATTTCTAATGAGATTGGTGGGCCTGTTTGTGTTTTTGTAGCGTGTTTCAGTCCAGGTGCAGCATTCAGTCTGTTTCTGTGCTTTGCTTTCATTTTTGTGAACACAGAAAATCCAAATTCACAGACATATGTAGTAGTGAAAGGAATAAGTGTAGAAATACTGACCCTACTGAGGACAAAATATTCTGACAAAATGCTTATCCACAATGATCAGAACTGTATATTCCAGACCTACATACAGATCGTGACAAGGCGACTACAAAAACATCTCTTGTGACCCACCTGAGAATCACGACCCAGTCTTTGGGAAACAATGCTCTAAATTGTTCATACTTACATTTAAAGATGGCATATGGAGTAAAATAGTAAAATTTTGAGTTTGTAGCCATGTTAATATTGGTGCTTTCTCATAAGATCCATGCATGTTTGAGTAATCTCTTATTTTCCAACATTCAAGGCTTAAGAACTCAAAAAAATTTTGTTTCCACCTACCCCCTAGCCCCGCCCACTTCACTGTACACTTGTGATTATTCAAAAGGAATATAAATCGGACTGGGTTGTACGTGCTGTGGCCAAAAATGTCCCGCAAACATTTTTCGAGCAGTAAAAACACAACAAGGAGTCAATATCGGACCATTTTCTATATCACTTTAGAGCAATGTTGAGGTTTACAATTAACAAAATACATAATTATGATGTATGGAGTCATTACTTAATATAAAAATACAATTCTTCATCTGTAATCTTGTTCGTAAATACTCGTAAAATATTCGTTTAGTTAAAATCGTATTAAAAACAGCTCAAACCTTGCAGTGTCCGTAAAAGTCCACTGAAAACTGCTCCTGTCACTGCAGCGCCCTCTGGTGGTCACGCTGGTCACTGCGCTGCGGGTCTTCAAAGAGACAGGTGTGGCGCGTGCCCGTGGTCAAGGAGACGGCACCGGAAACACTGGAACCTTCAAAATAAAGGTTCAGTGATTAGGTTCCGTATTAATGAAAACAAGAGCATTTTTGTGCAACTTTTAAACTGTATTTATGTCTTAATTTGCCTACTAAATAGCTAAAGGTGCACAAACTTTTCTGCTTTTCTCGGTTCTTGCTTTGTCTGAAATGTTCCACAGTATAGCATTAAACTACTGTCTTGCATTTATTTAATTACAGTGTTTTTATTGTTCAAAAATACCTCCACAGGCCTGGTTGTCTCCATGAAGACACACAAGTTTAATGCTATACTGTGGAATATCTTAGATGAAACAACAGCAACTCTATTGAGACCCACCAGAAAAGTTACATGATACATCTTTAAAACTCCAATATTATGCAAAATTGATTCTTGTGAGCTTTTAAACTTGTAAGAATGTTGTTTCTTCATCAAAAACATACCCGGAGTTGTGTTTTGTTTCATTCACACATCCTGCGTTATCAGTCTGTCTACATCTCCAAAGCTCAAAATGCTCTGCTCCACCTTGTGATGTCATGAAGCACAGGGGAGCACTTCCTGTATTGTCACATGACATCATAAGGTGGAACAGAGTGTTTACTGTTTGAGAAAAGAGCTTGTATGAATGAAACAAAACACAACTCTAGGTATGTTTGTGATGATGAAACAAAATCATAACATAGGTTGACTAGATTTTCAAAATAATAAAAAAAAAAACAAACTCGGACATGCCTGGTTTGGGTAAAATTGTGAAACGAGTGCGTAATTAAGTTAAACTGTTCACACTCAGCACTAATGTGAGTCAGTATAGTCACATTTTCATTGTGTTTTGGTCATTTTCAAGCAGCTTTCCTGTATTTTACCTAAACAAATGACAATTTATGACTCTCTTTACTGTTGACAGGGATCAAATTGGTCAAAAATAGGGACACTTGGGACATTTCTTGTATAAAACTGGGACAAATCAGTGGTTTTGGATAAATTTGCTGGGACAGGGGACTCAAACTCAAAACTGGGACTGTTCCTGGTAAACATCTGGACATCTGGTCACCCTATTATAGCAGATAAAACAAACAAACAAGAAAAAAACAAACAAACAAAAAACAAAACAAAAATAATATGGCACCTTTAGTTAAAATACTTGAAGTTGGCTAAATGTATTGTGTTTACTATAAGACTTATTCATATCCTTTTACACAGCCTTTAGCTAAACTAAACTAAACTAAACTAAACTAAACTAAATTAAATTAAATTAAACTAAACTAAGCGAAACTAAACTAAACTAAACCGATTTTCCCACTTACCGCTGTTTTACTTTTATTCTGAAGGTCCGGAGCGGAAGTGTGACGTGACAGCTCCAGGTTGTGCTCGTGCGTGAGCGTCTGAGCGCGCGCACAGGACGCACAGGACGCACGGAGGGACGCACGCAGGACGCACACGGCTCACTCCAGACTCCAGACACACGCGGAGGAGGAGAAGAGCCGCTTTTATTCACTCCTCACATTTATTCTCACTTTAGATGATTTTTGTTTTAATTAAACTCTGACTGGGTAAAAGAAGTGCCTCGTGAAGATGCTCGCGGAGATGATTATGGAGGAAGAATTTGAGATTAAGGATGAGGAGCCGTGGTTTGACAAGCAGGACCTGGAGCATGGTAAGGTCGTTTTTTATTAATTTATATTTATTTATTTTTTATCGTGGAGTCTGTCATAATGTTAACTGTTTTGATGCTGAGTTTGTCAGAGTTTTGACCCGGTTTTTAGACCTAGAGTAGTCCTGGTTTAGATCTGGGTGACTAGTGGTAGTAGTTTAGTCCTGGTTTAGTTGGTCCTGGTTTAGTCCTGGTTTAGCCCTCAATCAATCATGATTTAGTCCTGGTTTAGTTCTGGTTTAATCCAGGTTTAGCCCTTCCATAGCCCTCGATCAGTCTTGTTTTAGTCCTGGGTTAGTCCTGTTTTAGTTCTGGTTTAGTTCTGGTTTTAGTCCTGGTTTAGTCCTGGTTTAGTTGGTCCTGGTTTAGTCCTGGTTTAGCCCTCAATCAATCATGATTTAGTCCTGGTTTAGTTCTGGTTTAATCCAGGTTTAGCCCTTCCTTAGCCCTCGATCAGTCTTGGTTTAGTCCTGGGTTGGTCCTGTTTTAGTCCTTGTTTAGTCCTGGTTTAGTTCTGGTTTAATCCTGGTTTAGCCCTTCCATAGCCCTCGATCAGTCTTGGTTTTAGTCCTGGGTTAGTCCTGGGTTAGTCCTGTTTTAGTTCTGGTTTAGTCCTGGTTTAGTTCTGTTTTAGTTCTGGTTTAGTCCTGGTTTAGTCCTTCTTTACCCCTCAATCCATCTTTGTTTAGTCCTGGTTTAGTTCTGCTTTAGTTCTGGTTTTGTCCTTCTTAAGACCTTGATCAATATAGGTTTAATTCTGGTTTAGTTCTGTTTTCGTCCTGGTTTAGTTCTGGTTTAGACCTTCTTTAGCCCTCGATCAATCTTGGTTTAGTTCTGGTTTAGTCTTGGGTTAGTCCTGGTTTAGTCCTGGCTTAGTCCTGGGTTAGTTCTGGTTTAGTCCGGTCTGTTTTAGTCCTGTCTATTTTAGTCCTGGCTTAGTCCTGGTTTAGTCCTGGTTTAGACCTTCTTTAGCCCTCGATCAATCTTGGTTTAGTTCTGGTTTAGTCTTGGTTTAGTCCTGGCTTAGTCCTGTCTTAGTCCTGTCTTAGTCCTGGTTTAGTCCTGGTTTAGACCTTCTTTAGACCTCGATCAATCTTGGTTTAGTTCTGTTTTAGTCCTGGTTTAGTCCTGGCTTAGTCCTGGCTTAGTCCTGGTTTAGTCCTGGTTTAGTCCTGGTTTAGACCTTCTTTAGACCTCGATCAATCTTGGTTTAGTTCTGTTTTAGTCCTGGTTTAGTCCTGATGTAGTTCTGGTTTAGTCCAGTCTGTTTTAGTCCTGTCTATTTTAGTCCTGGCTTAGTCCTGGTTTAGTCCTGGTTTAGACCTTCTTTAGCCCTCGATCAATCTTGGTTTAGTTCTGGTTTAGTCTTGGTTTAGTCCTGTCTTAGTCCTGGCTTAGTCCTGGCTTAGTTCTGGTTTAGCCCTGTCTGTTTTAGTCCTTGTTTAGTACTGGTTTAGTCTTGGTTTAGTCTTGGTTTAGTTCTGGTTTATTCTTGGTTTAGTCTTGGTTTAGTTCTGGTTTAGCCCTTCTTTAAGCCCTCGATCAATCTTGGTTTAGTCCTGTTTTAGTCCTAGTTTAGTCATGGTTTAGACCTAATTTGGTTTTAGATTAGTCCTGGTTTAGACCTGTTTTAGCGCTTCTTTATTTCTTGATCAGTTTTGCTTTAATCTTGGTTTAGTCCTGGTTTTGTGGTTTGTTTTTTTTGCCCCTGTTTTGGTCCATAATTAGTCCTTGTTTACATTAGACCTGGGTTGGACCTGACTCCTCCAGTCTGGACCAACTATAAACTATAATTAAACCCGACTTAATACTAAAATTACAGAGAAAACATTTATTTTTTTGATATAATTTGGCTCTACCGTATCCTTCTCTGTATTATATGGACCCAGACAAAAACGCTCAAATATACAGAGTCTCCTTGAAGTAACATTCACTTTATTGATCTCCTGCCCACATGCTTTCACTGCAATTTATTTATTTATTTATTTATGACTTTACAAATCAAAGGAATTTGCTTACCAGTAGTTTTTATGATGCAGTGTAAAGACGGAAATGGAGATTAATGTTGAGAAAGATGCAAATATCTACATAATTTTGATCATTTGGTATTTAGTATGCAGTCGTTTTTGTGTTTTAGAGGTTTTTTAATGCTTTGACACAATATTTGCGATGGGATTTGAATGAGAAAATGTGTAACTTGTGGTTGTAAAGATAAATATTGAACCGAAGAATCATTGACTGAGCCGAGGTTTAGAATTAAGTGAGTTTCTCTTGTTTTTTAAATGATTCTAGAGGTAAACTTCTGCTTAAAGAGCTCGTATTTTTCTTTTTTCTGATCTGTTATAATGTTTCCTCGTCACAAACGCATCCTGGAGTTGTGTGTTGTTCTCTTTATTATTAGTCTGACTACATCTCATAACGCTCTAATCCACCTTGTGATGTCATGAAGTAGACGTAGTTTTCAAGTTAGCAGCTACGTGTGACCTTTTAGTTCAGTAGAGGTTGGCAGTTCCAGGGCTGAAATGATCCAAATGATTCTAGTAAGTGAAGTTTATTTAGCGCTTTTCACAAACATAGTTCACAAAATCCTTCACAAGCAAAAGATAAAAACAGCAGAGGAAACATTCATGATAAAATAAAATCAGTCATAGCAGCTCTAAACCTGACGGGACGAGAACACATGTTCAAAGAGAAACGTTTCTAGTTGCTTTTTTTAAAAAAGCATCTACGCCCATGATATAATTATATTTGACCCGCAAGATCATATCAAATCTGTATTAGAGCTGCTCACCGGGTACAGATAAACTATAGAGACTTTTATTTATTTAAAATGTATTTATTTATTTATTTATTTAAAAACTTGCCTTGCCTTACTTTGTTGAAATAAATGGATTACACAGAGGTATTCCCCCCACCCCCCCACTAAATCAGGTCTAAAACCAGGTCTAAACCCAGGTCCAAACCAGGTCCAAACCAGGTCCAAACCAGGTCCAAACCAGGTCCAAAACCAAGTCTAAAACCCGGTCTAAAACCCGGTCTAAAACCCGGTCTAAAACCCGGTCTAAACCCGGTCTAAACCCGGTCTAAACCAGGTCTAAACCAGGTCTAAACTAGGAATAAACCAGGACTAAAACCAGGTCTAAACCAGGTCTAAACCCGGTCTAAACCCGGTCTAAACCCGGTCTAAACCCGGTCTAAACCAGGTCTAAACCAGGTCTAAACTAGGAATAAACCAGGACTAAAACCAGGTCTAAACCAGGTCTAAATTAGGAATAAACCAGGACTAAAACCAGGTCTAAACCAGGTCTAAATTAGGAATAAACCAGGACTAAAACCAGGTCTAAACCAGGTCTAAACCAGGTCTAAACCAGGTCTAAACCAGGTCTAAACTAGGTCAAACCAGGTCTAAACTAGGTCCAAACCAGGTCTAAACTAGGTCCAAACCAGGTCTAAACCAGGTCTAAATAAGGAATAAACCAGGACTAAAACCAGGTCTAAAACCTAAGTCTAAACCCAAATCTAAACAAGGACTAAACCAAGACTAAACCACGTCTAAACCAAGACTAAACCAAGACCAAACCAGGACTAAGACCAGGTCTAAACTATGTCTCAAACAGGATTGAACAGGACTAAATCATGCCGTGAGGACCATGTCTCCTCTTCTTCTATCAATACTATTTTTAATTTGGTTAAGTAAAGTCTGGGCTTTTTATTTTCTTTTAGCAGACAAAACATCTTATGTCACGATTTCCTCATCTTTGCTTCTCTACAGCAAATCAACTAATCCAAAGTATTCAGATTACGTTACTCACCTTAAGTAATTTAATGGATTCCGTTACAAACTACATTCTGTTGTATGTAATCTGTAATCTGTAGGGGAATACATTTTAAAAGTCACCTTCTTTTTGGAGATTTGGCGCGGAATGACTGAGGATAATAGAGACTCTAATCGTGATCTCTCTTGCAGCTTTACTGTTCTACGTCATTGAAAACATGTATTAGGCTGCGTTCAGACTGCAGCCTGAAGTGACCCAAATCCGATTTTTTGGCCTCTATGTTCCTGTATCTGATCTTTTAATGACAGTCTGAACGACAAAAGATCCGATTTTTTTCAAATGTGACCCAGGACACTTGGATATGTGCTCCTGAAACTGATACATATCTGATCTTTTGACATGTGACTTCAGTGTGAACGGACAAAGCGCATTCATCCACCTACACGTTATCAACAAGACACAAACGTCACTATTCTGCACTGAAGTCGGCGAAAATTGTTAATGAACTGGTTTAGTTCAAGTTTAGACCTGGTTTAAGTCTGGTCTAAACAAGGACTAAACCGGGACTAAACCAGGACTAAACTAGGACTAAACTAGGAAGTCTAAACTGGGTCTAAACAAGGTCTGTAATCAGGTTTACAAGAAAAGGATAAACAAGACTAAACCATGGGCTGAACCAGGTCTATACTTGGTCTAAATTAGGACTATACCAGGACTAAACCAGGACCAAAAACGAGAACTAAACCAAGTCTAAACTAGGTCTCTAACCAAGGTCTATCAGGTTAATGAGAAAAGACTAAACAAGACTAAACCAAGTTTGAATTAAAGGTCTAAACTTGGACTAAACCAAGACAAAACCAGGACCAAAAATGAGAACTAAACCAGGTCTAAACTGGGTCTCTAACCAAGGTCTGTCAGGTTAATGAGAAAAGGCTAAGCAAGACTAAACCAAGATTGAATTAAATCAGGTCTAAACCAGTACTAAACCAGGGCTAAACCTGGTCTAAACTAGGACTAAACCAGAACTAAAAACGAGATCTAAACCACGTCTAAATTAGATCTCCTATCAGGGTCTATCAGGTTAAAGAGAAAAGACTAAACAAGACCACGTTTAAATTAAACCTGAAACGAAAACAAAAACAAAATACACATGATTAAAGCTTCAGTATGTAACATCGTGTCACTGAAGTGAAGCACATCTCCACTCTTGGCTCCGTCTCCGCATCCACACGTTCCTTTCAACGGACGTCGCTGCCGCTGCCCCACAAAACACCACGACCAAAAACCGTCCTTCTCCTTCTCAATCTCCTTAAAACAAGTAAGTTGTTCATGTTCTGGCTCCGGTACGAGAGGAACTTTAAAATCTCCAGGTCCTCAGTGCTCGCGTCCATGTTTGGACAACTTCCGTAAACACAGAGACGCTCGCTGCGGTTGACGTCGCCGTGTCTCCAGTGTCACATGCGGGACACTTTCAGGCCGTTTACTGTTCACACTGGAGTCGCATACAAGTATTTGTATTTGTATTGCATTTAATTGGAAATGTGAACGACCTCGCAAAAACATCGGATTTCACTAAAAAATCGGAATTTAGCGTTAAGCCCTGCAGTCTGAACATAGCCTTAGTCTTTCTTATACCGTACGGGAACACAGTCTACCAGATATTTCACTATATTTGACCAATCCCACTGTTCTGGATTCATTACAGTACTTCAGATCAGACGTATCTGTTTCCACTCTCCAGGTAAAAGCAGAGGGACTGGAGCAGGGCCAGATCACAGGAGGCTTACTCAAAGAGGCTCGGATCTTCTTAGCACACCTCCTTCTCTCCGAGTTGTTTGTTTTTTTCGATAAGAGTTAGAGAGATGGATGGATGTGTGGATGAAGTTAAAACGAGTGGTGAAGGAGTGTTGGTTTGGCCCACAGATCTGCAGCTGGCCGCCGAGTTGGGGAAGAGTCTCCTCGAGAGGAACAGAGAGCTGGAGCAGGGGCTGGGGCAGATGTACTCCACCAACCAGGAGCAACTGCAGGAGATAGAGGTGAGACTATGAGGACTACACCAGGACTAAACCAGGACTAAACCAGGACCAAACCAGGACCAAACCAGGACCAAACCAGGACCAACCAGGATTACACCAGGACCAAACCAGGATTACACCAGGAGCAACTGCAGGAGCAACTGCAAGAGATAGAGGTGAGACTATGAGGACTACACCAGGACTAAACCAGGACTAAACCAGGACCAAACCAGGATTACACCAGGACTAAACCAGGACTACACGAGGACTAAACCAGGACTAAACCAGGACGAAACCAGGATTACACCAGGACTAAACCAGGACTAACCAGGACTACACCAGGACTAAACCAGGACTAAACCAGGACTAAACCAGGACTAAACCAGGACTAAACCAGGACCAAACCAGGAGCAACTGCAAGAGATAGAGGTGAGACTATGAGGACTAAACCAGGACTAAACCAGGACTAAACCAGGACTAAACCAGGACTAAACCAGGACTAAACCAGGACTAAACCAGGACTAAACCAGGAGCAACTGCAAGAGATAGAGGTGAGACTATGAGGACTAAACCAGGACTAAACCTGGACTAAACCTGGACTAAACCTGGACTAAACAAGGACTAAACAAGGACTAAACCAGGACTAAACCAGGACTAAACCAGGACTAAACCAGGAGCAACTGCAGGAGGTAGAGGAGAGACTATGAGGACTAAACCAAGACTAAAATGAGACTAAACCCAGGAGCAACTAGACCTGGTTTAGACCTGGTTTAGACCTGGTTTAGACCTGGTTTAGTTCTAGTTTAGACCTGGTTTAGTTCTAGTTTAGACCTGGTTTAGTTCTAGTTTAGACCTGGTTTAGACCTGATTTAGTCTTGGTTTAGACTTGGTTTAGACCTGGTTTAGTCCTGATTTAGTTCTGGTTTAGACCTGGTTTAGACCTGGTTTAGTCCTGGTTTAGTTCTAGTTTAGACCTGGTTTAGACCTGGTTTAATTCTAGTTTAGACCTGGTTTAGACTTGATTTAGTCTTGATTTAGACTTGGTTTAGTCCTGGTTTAGTCTTGGTTTAGTCCTGGTTTAGTCTTGGTTTAGACCTGGTTTAGTCTTGGTTTAGACTGGTTTAGTCTTTGTTTAGACTTGGTTTAGTCTGGTTTAGACTTGGTTTAGTCTTGGTTTAGACCTGGTTTAGTCCTGGTTTAGTCTTGGTTTAGTCCTGGTTTTAGTCTTGGTTTAGACCTGGTTTAGTCTTGGGTTTAGACTTGGTTTAGTCTTGGTTTAGACTTGGTTTAGTCTTGGTTTAGACCTGATTTAGTCTTTGGTTTAGACCTGATTTAGTCTTGGTTTAGTCTTGGTTTAGTCTTGGTTTAGTCTTGGTTTAGTCCTGGTTTAGTCCTGGTTTTAGTCTTGGTTTAGTCTTGGTTTAGACCTGGTTTAGACCTGGTTTAGACCTGGTGAATTTCCTGGTGTTCATTTTGCTAAAAAAAAAATCCCTTCCACACACGTTTTCTTACTGTGAGGGGGGTTTCCTCTCCACAGACGTGACCTGTAACTTGGCCTGATTGCGTCACCTGCTCGTTTTCATGAACACAGATAAAAATAATTATTATCTATCGTCTTGTGTTGTTTGTGCAGAGCTTCGTGTTTGTAGCCCGGTTTAATTCACTTAAGTGGGGTCAGACTGGAGGCAGCGTAAATCTTCTCTTGGATTAATCTCCTCAAAGACTTGATTCGTGTCAGGTTCATGAACTCTGAATACACCAGGTCCCACGTAATGTAATGTTTTGGTATTTTGTATGAGTTAATCGAATCATTCATCGTTCGTCTTAATCATTGTATCACTAAAACCGTAATTATTAAGGTAATTTAATATCCTCTTTGAGAATGAAATGTCCCTGTTTATCTCCACAAAGTCTTATTCTGTGAAAAACCTGCAAACCCTACAAAGTTTATTAGTTTATAAGTCTTATATCAAATGTTCCTGGATGCTTCTGGAGTTGTTTACAGTATGGATGACTATGATAAAAAAATAAAATAAAATAAAAAATAAAACAACAGAAAATATTAACTGTAAAGAATAATTTTTTTATTATTTCAACATAATCATTTTAAAATGTAATAATAAAAAATAATCAAAATAAATAAATAAAAATAAAATAATAAATGCAAAATACATAAATACAATTTGTTACAATATTATAATAAAAAATTCCCATACATATTTTTTTTTTGCTGTCAAACATTGCTTTTTCTAGCCTGTGTTAAGGACAGAAAATATAAACTGTAAAGAATAATTTTTTGGTTCTTTCAACATAATAATTTTTAAATGAAACAATAAAAATAAATGCATAAATGAATAAATAAATACATGAATACATTTGTAAATAAATAAAATAAAACCATTAAAACAAAAAATAAAACTGAAATCCATTTTAGAAGGAAGGACGATAGCAAAAAAATTATGTATGGGAATTTTTTTTTATCGTCCTTCCAAAATAGATTTCAGTTTTATTTTTAGTTTTAATGGTTTCATTTTATTTATTTATTTATTAATTTACGCATTTATTCATGTATTCCTTTATTCATTTATATTTATTTATTTATTTTATTTTATTTTTTTATTGTTTCATTTTAAAATTATTATGTTGAAATAACCAAAAATTATTCTTTACAGTTTATATTTTCTATCCTTAACGCAGGCTAGAAAAAGAAATGTTTGATAGCAAGAAAATTATGTATGGAAATGTTTTGTTATCAAACATTGCTTTTTCTAGCCTGTGTTAAAGGTGCACCTTGTAACTTTTCTGGTGTAGGGTCCATCACCTGCTTGTTTCTATGGATATGTCCTTACTCTGTCTGGAATGTTCCACAGTGTGACATTAAACAGCTCTACTTTACATTTATTCAGTTACAGTTGTTTCTATAGCCAAAACTACCTTGAAAAACATGCACTGTGACTGTGAGCGGGGTCGCCTCTCCACAGATCTGACCTGTAACTTGGTCCGGTTTGGTCTCCATGAAGAGAGAAAGGTTTAATGCCGTACTGTGTAACATTCCAGACTAGGGATGGGCATTCGATGAAATTTTCTTAATCGATCGTCGGAAGAATTAACGATGGATTATCGATTAATCATGAACGTTTTTATATTAAAATGATCATCATTATTATTACTATCTGCACTACTAATCTGCATAAATAAATTCAACTTTACGACATATAAACCGTAACGACTCTAGAGCCACATCAGCCGTTTGACATTATAATGTGTTTAATTCAGTTTTGTGCAACTCTCACAGAAACGAAACTTAAAACCGCATCGCTAATTTGCATAAACTAAGTGAAGATAAAAACTACAGCTCTTGTGTCGCTGATACGGTTCAATTTCTGTCAGGATTAAAAGACATGACCCAGTGGAATACAGGTTAGTGTGACCAGATTTGCGTTTGTCAAAACCAGGACAGCGTACGGGGGGAGGGAGGTGGGGACTCGTCATCGACATTGCGCGACTCTCACCTGGTAAAACTTTTCCCACTGGACACCGAAACATATGTGCTGCTTTATACACTGTGCACATGGACTCACACTTGTCCCGAACGCAACGGAAAGCGTGGATTTTCTTGTACAAATCATCGTTAAATACACATTTGTGCTTCGGTACGTTGCAGACTGACCGACTGTTTGTGTTTGTGTCTCGCTCCTTCTGAGTGCAGAGAGCGACATGTACGGACCTGTTTGGTCAGGCTACACACAGCAACCTACATTCAGTTTGTCCATTAAAATTAACGTAATCGATGAAATTCTTAATGATCAATTATCGATTAATCGATTAATCCTGCCCATCCCTATTCCAGACAAAGCAATAACATCTCAGAAACACCAGAAAAGTTACACAATGCACCATAAAAACTCAAATCAGGACTATAACCAAATTGTCAGACATAATTTTCTTGCTTTCAAACATGACTTTTTTCTCGCCCGTGTTGAGATAACTCTTTGCAGTAATCCTTGTTGTGTGTGTTTCTTGTCTGGCGGTTCAAAGTGTCCTAGTTTCTGCAGGTGATAAGATAAAAAGTCCCTAAAGAAAATGTACATAAACAATAAACAGGAGAGTCTTCAGAGACACGGGGATGTAACTAGGAAACATACGAACTCAGGTGACTGCGTTAAAGTAAATTAGAGCAGTGTACAGGTGTAACATGTATAAAAATAATATAAACTGTCTAATATTTCAGCTGTAATATTATAATATGTGGAGCTTTTTAAAGGTTTTATTTTTATTACGCTATTTTCAGATCTATATTATAAAGTTGCTTCCTCATCATAAACAGATCTGGAGTTGTGTTTTGGTTCATTCACACATGTTTAAGACACAAACCCTGCATATTTAGGCTGAGAATTCTTCTTCTCTCAAACATAAAACACTCTATTCCACCTTGTGATGTCATGCAGTAATACAAGAAGTGCTCCAATGTGTTTTTAAACTCCATACACTTTCACTAGAATCACTTGAAAGATCAGATTCAGTCCTGGAATCGATCAATTTCTACTAAACTAAAAGTAAAACGTAGCTTGAAAACTACCACTTCGTGACATCACAAGGTGGACCAGAGCATTTTGAGCTAATTAATAATAAAGTGTTACTCAAACGTGTGCGAATGAAACAAAAAAAACAAACAAAACACAATTCCTGGTCTGTTTGTTTTTGACAGAGGTGGGACCAAGTCGTTGTTTTGCAAGTCTCAAGTAAGTCTCAAGTCTTTGACCTCAAGTCCGAGTCAAGTCCCAAGTCAAATACAGGCAAGTCCAAGTCGAGTCTCGAGTCACTGATCCATAAGTCCAAGTCAAGTCCAAGTCGTCTGCTTTGAGCTTCAAGTCATTTCAAGTCTTTAAACCAAAAAAGTACCAAATATAGCTTAGATTATTGCAATTTATATGAATTTTAAACTATTGTACTTTAAAAATCACAGTATATTTATATATGAGTATCTACAGAGTATAGAAGAGTTGAAGAGAAGAGAGAAATGTACATTTTTCCTTTTTAAATGTCTTGACAAGATCTTAGTGTGAATCATTACGTTCAGAATAGAAAGAATTCAGATTTAAAAGTGTTTCTTAAGCCTTCTCAAGTCACAGGCCTCAAGTCCGTATCAAGTCCCAAGTCACTGACCTTCAAATCCAAGTCAAGTCCCAAATTTTTGTCCATTTTATCAAGTCAAGTCTCAAGTCCTAAAAATAGTGACTCAAGTTTGACTCGAGTCCAAATCACGACTTTCAAGTCCCAACCTCTGCCATAAACTGTATATAAAAAAATAAAAAAAATGTATTAAAAATCATATATATGGTCTATTCTTGTGATAAATGAATAAACTATTAAAAACTTGCAAGTCCCCACCTCTCATTTTTGAAGAGGTTGAATAATATGAAACAGAAAACACGCACCAAAGTTCTTGTAGCAGTACAAATGTAAGAAACAGCAAAATAAAAGTGAAAAAATGCATAGTGTACACTGTGTTTTTTTTTTTTTGCCGAAATGTTATTTAAACATTTTTAAAAAGCTTTTGGACATCGGCCATCTGAGTGTGCTATGCATTTTTTTTTTCACGTTTTCATGTTTTTGAGGAGGTAACAACATTATAACATGGCTTAAGTCTCACAAGAGTCCATTTTGTGTAATATAGGACCTTTAAAAAGTAGGATTCTGTCCAGAGTTCACACTGTAAACAACTCCAGGAGCATTAACATTTGAGAGAAGACTGATTGACTGATTGACTGAGACTTCATAACATGAACTGATAAACATGCAGATTCTAATTCAAGTCGCACCATTTCTTTTGCGGCGAACTATTCTTGTCGCCATTGCAACAACTTTGCGAACTAAAGATATAGTCAAAAAAAAGCCGCTAAAACTGTTGCGTTGGTGGAGTAAACAGCGTCGTCTTGCGTCTGTGGACTGCGTGACAGGCGTAAGTAAACCACATAATGGCAGCGCAGGCAAGTCAGTTACACTAGAAACGTAGGGAGTTTGATTGACAGCCTTCAGCTAACAGATAACGAGGCAGTTCGTTATCTATTGGCAATGTTTAGCCCCACCACGTCCAGAGTTGATGAATTATTCTCTTTTTTTTGGTCATCATAATTACAAGGCTACTGCATCTCTATAATCTATCATTGACAACTTGAAACAAAAAACAAAAAACAAAAAATTCCAACCATCCAATTTAACATTTGAGAGAAGACTGACATATGAACTGATAAACAAGGATCCCATGCACTTCATAACATGTTTGTAAAGGTCTAAACTAGATTCTTTCTATACAAAAGACAGGATATTTAGTTCTTTTGTAGATATATTCTATTGTATAAATAATTACAGCCTTTGCGATTTGATAATTGCACCAGCTCCTCTTCCGATTGTTATTCAATTCCAGCACATTGTTGTGCTTTTCTACTTTCAAAGAGCTTTACAGGAAAGATCGAGGAACCCTTCCCCCACCAGTGTACACAGACAACAGGGGTGAGGTGCCTTGCCCGAGGACACAACAACAGCCTTCATCTCTACCGATAATGTTTATGTTGAGAGTGGGATTTGAACTGCCAGCCTTCGGATTAGTGGACAGACACTCTGAAACAATGTTATGAAACGCATGGAGAAAATTGTAAATCTAGTCTGATTGTCACAAAAAACACAAAATATTAGTAATTAGGGGTGTAACGATATCCAACTCTCACGATACGATATTGTCACGGTATAAACCTCACGGTACGATATTTATTGCGATATTTAGATGATTAAAATGTTTGTGCGTCATGTGAACTTTGCATAAGAAGTGGTTTAACAAAGACTTTTAGTATCACAGTCATGATTTAGCCTTTGTCTTTTATTGAACCGTATCGAATCAATTTGAAATATATCGTATCGAATCGAAAGTGCACTGTATCGAGATGTGAATCGTATCAGTAACTTCTTAATGATACCCAGCCCTATTCTTTACAGTTTACATTTTACGTCCTTGTTTTGGTGTTTTGGTAAAGGTGTAACGATATCCAAGTCTCACGATACGATATCGTCACAGTATGAACCTCACAGTACGATATTTATTGCGATATCGTGGGAAAGCTCACGATATGGTGGGGAGGCTCACGATTAGGGATGTAACAATATCCAAATCTCTCAGAACGATATTTTCACGATATTTATTGCGATATTTTGTGGAGGTTCAACAGCTAAAACTGTTAATATGCGACTTTTTCCTCTTAAAATGCCTTGACAAGACTTAATCCAAAGAACTAAGACGTAAAAGTGCTCAGAACTGTTATTTCTTCTTGTAATCTGTGCTGAAATGGAGCAAAGGATCATGGTCTATGTAGTTCCTTCTGTCTTTTTTTAGCTATTGCTGCACCATAACTCTTAATTTAAACAAAGAGACTTGTAATTCGATATATTGTGATGGTCCACGATATTATTGTGAGAACTTTGACGATACGATATCACGATATTTCGGTTATTGTTACATCCCTATTAGTAGGCAAGGCAAGTTTATTTGTATAGCACAATTCATACACAAAGTAATTCAAAGTGCTTTACAGAATAAGAAATACATTAAAATCATAATAAAAAACAAATAAAAACATAAATAATCATGAAGATTAAAATTTTTAAAAAAAGAGAGACATAAATTGGAGAGAAGAGTGCGGAATGAAAACCTTTCAGTTATTTGCACAGTCAAACAGAAATGTTTTGAGTCTGGATTTAAACAACGTCACAGAAGAGTCTGTCTCACATGTTCAGACTGTTCCAGGTTTTAGCTGCATGAACCTGAAACTCTGACTCCCCTTGTTTAGTCGTGACTCTGGGCACCAGCAGGAGGCCGGTCCCTGAGCTCCTCAGAGTGTGAGATGTTCATATGACACTAACATGTCACAGATGGACTTTGGTGCTCGGCCATGGAGACACTTGTACAAGCAGAGCTGCTTTAAAATCTCTGAGCCACAGGAGCCAGAGCAGAGACCTGAGCACAGGACTTATGTGCTCGTACTTCCTAGTTCGAGTCAGGACCTGAGCTGCAGCGTTCTGGATGTTCTGCAGCATCTCACAGCTCGTTTGGAGAGACCAGTGAGCAGAACATTACAGTATCTAACCTACTGGAGACAAACGCATGGATAAGTTTCTCCAAGTCTGATTTAGACAGTAAACCTTTGATTTTCGCTATGTTTTTTAGATGGTAAAAAGGCTGCAGATGTTATTGATTTGATGTGGCTGTTAAAGTTCAAGTCTGAGTCCATTATTACCCCTAGATTTCTGATTTGAAGGTTTTAGAGAGAGTAATACACAATACAGTACTATACGATACAACAGACAGAATACAAAACTTACGAAGAAGGATCCTATAATCTATCTCATAACTCAGTAGTTCCAAAATGTCCCTTCTGCGCACATACATAAACTCCATGGTGTTTTGATGTTCTTCTGTCTCACGTAGTCTCTCTCTGTGTCTCTGTTCAGTACCTGACGAAGCAGGTGGAGCTCCTCAGACAAGTGAACGACCAACACGCCAAAGTTTACGAGCAGCTGGACTCTTCGGCCCGAGACCTGGAACAAAACAACCTCAAACTGAACTCTGAAAACCGCAGTGCCCAGAACAAGATAGAGGGGTCAGTATACGGTTTAACTCTTTCCCCCATGAAGACGACATTTGACGACCCCCCCTGTTTCCTTAATGACGACTTTTGACACCTCCGCCGTTTCACTAAAGACGAGATTTGACGACTTTTAGAAATGGCTCGGTTTTTCACATTTAAACAGAGACTGTGATCGGTCGGGGCCACTACAACCGACAGTAGACTGACCAATAGGATTCAAGGATATGTTTTCGCCGATTTTTTCCGAACTTAATCGAAATAGTGACGATGGTAGCTTCCGGAAAAAACACAACACGAAACACGTGCAATGGAAAGATTGCGGCGCTGCGGCGCACAGTTTTAGAAATAATGAGGAGCGGACGTATTTTATGGATAAGTTTAGAGAAAGTGACTTTTATAGATTTCAAAGTGATGATGTTGAAGTTGATTATAAAGTGGAAAACAGCGATAGCGACGGACTTTCGGGGGAAGGTGAGAATGTCATGATGCGTCTGTGTGGAGTCCTGCGATGTCCAAACAAACTATCTGAGCTTTATACTCGATTATGAACCAAAATTGCCCTGAAATCTGGATGTTGCCCAGGCGAGTCCTTTAAAATATTTCAGTCTTTTTTTCCAAGATGCGATGTATAACAGAATCGCTACAGAAAAAACGCTTATGTGGAGCTCTGCACATGAGAAAGTAACCAAGATGACAAATACTGGACACACACTGACGGGGAAGAGAGTTTTATTATTATTATTATAATATTATTAAGCTAAATAAGTTGAATAAGCTAAATGAGTTGAATAAGTTAAATGGAAAAAAATGAATTGGGTGCACACAGGTGAACAACAGGTAAAAACAGGTGCACACTTGGCTGTACTGTATCTGGTGATAAATCTGTTTAAATACTTTGACAAAGTATACATATATATATATTTTTATGAATATAGTACTCAGAACATGTATATATCAGATGCTGAATGTAGTTTTTTGTTTTCGAGTTTGCACCTGACCAGGTAAACTCTCATTTTCAGTGAGCTGTTATACACCTATAAATGAGTTGAATCACATTTAAACATCCATAAATGAATAGTTCTGAGTCTGAGGTTTCCAGAGATACAAATATGTCTGTGTTACAATTAAGTTCATGAGTGTAAAAATCATTTATAATCACTCGTGGAAGTCTGTTTTCTTTTATGCAGTTATGCTCTATGGGTGTAGCCCTAGTGATATATGTATGGGTTGTTCCTAGTAGGCGTCCAGGGGGGAAAGAGTTAAAAGTTGCCGATACGATACATACCTCGATACAGTGCGTTTTCTATTCGATACGATATATTTCAAATCGATTCCATACAGTTCAGTAAAAAATAAAGGCTAAATCATGGCTGTGACACTAAAAGTCTTTGTTAAACCACTTCTTGTGCGAAGTTCATATGAAACACAAACATTTTAATCATCAAAACAGTGAAAATGTCAAATGTGTCACATAAACAAGTTTTCTTCCGCTAAACAAGCAACAAAACTGTAGCGCTGTAACAACATAATTCAGTAAAATATAACAAAAAATACTCTTGACGATATATCGATACAGCAGCCCACGATATCAATACTGTATCATCACATTAAACGATACGATATGTCGATATTTCAATATTTTTGCACACCCCTAAATAACATGATAACATTATAACTGTAACAGAGATAAGCTACGAATACTGTTTAAATTGCGTTTATTTTTTCTTTTAATTTTATTTTGATAATAATGGGAGATTCACTGTTTTGAAAAGAAATCTCCAAACTAATGATGCTGATCACAAACTTGCCTTATTAACGTTAAGGTTTAAAGTCTTTTAAAATGACTTTTTGAAGCTCCTGACAGTTTTTATTTCATGTAGATCGTCTTATCGTCTTATTAGTTTATAGAAATATTGATAGTGAACCAGGGCTGCACCAAGACTAAACAAACTTGAATTAGAACAAGTTTCAGTAGTTGGTATTGGTCTAGTGCTGTCATGCGATAAAAAAAATTTAGAGATTAATTAATTATGATCTGTAATTAATTAATCAAATTAATCTCATTTTAATCTCACCTAAAAATTGCTGAGAAAAGCCTTCAGTTTGAGGTATTTTCATTTAAATTCATTATTACATTATTGTGGCAGATCAAAAGACTCATATAGATTAAAAAAGTGACTTTATAAAGTCATTTATTGTTTAACAAATCTCTTCAAATTGGCTGTTGAGCCCAAGTCTCCATGAATAAGAAACTGTTTGCTGTAAAGTAGCAAAGACGAGGAAATCTGAACATAATAACTTTTGTGGACTTAAAGACAATAAAAAGTCCAGTCTTTCCTTAACCATATTAAAAATATTATTGATAGAGAAATTGCTTTAGATATGAAATCACTGGTTTTAGTCCTGGTTTAGACCTGGTTTAGACCTGCTTTAGTCCTACTTTAGTCCTAGTTTAGTCCTGGTGTTAGTTCTGGTTTAGTCCTGGTTTAGACCTACTTTAGTCCTAGTTTAGTCCTGGAATGGATTAATCCTGGTTTTAGTTCTGGTGTTAGTTCTGGTTTAGTCCTGGTTTAGACCTGGTTTAACTTGGTTTTTTCTGGTTTTAGTTCTGGTTTTAGTTCTGGTTTAGTCCTGGTTTAGTCCTAGTTTAGTCCTGGAATGGATTAATCCTGGTTTAGTTCTGGTGTTAGTTCTGGTTATCCTGGTTTAGACCTGGTTTAGACTTGGTTTTAGTTCTGGTTTTAGTTCTGGTTTTAGTTCTGTTTTAGTCCTGGTTTAGTCCTGGTTTAGTCCTGGTTTAGTCCTGGTTTTAGTTCTGATTTTAGTTCTGTTTTAGTTCTGGTTTAGTCCTGGTTTAGTTTTTACCTGTTTAGTTGGTTTAGTCTGGTTTAGACTGGTTTAGTCTGGACTGGATTAGTCCTGGTTTTAGTCTTGGTGTTAGTTCTGGTTTAGAGGCGCACAGGAGGAAGCTCGGTTTATGCCGCGTACGCGAGAAACACGATCCACACGCGGCGCACGGAAGCACGTCGGTGTCCACGCAGTAACTACAGAAGGAAACGTGGTCCGCGCTTCTCAGGTTAATGACGATGATGAAGGTGTGTGTTTGTTTGTGTGTGTGTGTTTGTTTGTGTGTGTTTGTGTTTTGTGTTTTGTTGTTTGTGTGTGTTTGTGTGTGTTTGTGTGCGTGTCCCCTCAGTGGCAGGTCACTATAGGACAGTAGTGCAGACATCATGAGTCTATGCAGGTTGTTTTCACCAGTGACATTTAAGTTGTAGGCGATATTATATTTATTATTTTCTTTTATATTTCACGTCGGGAGAATAATTTCCAAGACACGAATGTGTTTTTACCTGTGCACTGCTGCCTCTGTTCTACTGGCTCTTCCACCTCGTCATTGTGACTGACGCCGCCAACGTTACATAACGTTTACATCGCTCTTACTGCGCACGTTTTGTGTGGGTTTCGGCAATGAGTGGAATTACCGAAATAAAAAAATTTATAAATGTGTTTTTTTGTGTGTGTTGTTGTCCAACAACACATAAAAACAGGTTTTATAATAAAGCAACTCGCATACAGAAACAGTAAAGTTAGAGATTAAAAATGAGATTAACGCGATTAAAAAACATAACGCGGTAAATATGACTGTAATTAATTAATCGCAATTAACGCGATAATTTGACACCCCTAATTGGGTCATTTATAATGTTATATAATGTTATGTACTGGGCCCAAGTATAAGATTTAGAGAGCTGGGAAGTCCATTTTACAATCTTGAATTTAGGATTATGAATTTGTTTCCTTCATCTTTAGTCATGAAAAGAGGGGAAAAAACCCCCACAAAAACGATTTCTGATTAGCATCCGTAATAAACCACATTCTCTTGAGTTTGTTTGTATTTCTGTATTGTCCGCAGACTGACGGAGACGGTGGAGGCGCTGCAGACTCAGGTGGAGGAGCTACAGAAGCAGGTGGAGGACCTGAAGATCGGCTCAAGTCTGAAATCGTCTCAGAGACAAACGGCGCGGCCCAGAAGCAGACAGAGCATCTCCTGTTTACAAGAACTGGAATACACATACAGGTAAAATATGACTAGAACGGGATCAGCCTGTAGTCATATCTGATATTTGACTTGTTACTGTGGTCTATAAATGATTTGAGTTGATGTGATATCATTACTTATGATAATTCCCATGTAAAATGTAATTCTGTTATGATTTTTGATGAGGAAACGAGGGGTGGCCAGATGTCCCTATTTCCCCGGGACAATCACAAGTTTGAGCCCTGTGTCTCCTGTCCCAGCAGATTTATCCAAAACCAGTGATTTGTCCCAGTTTTATATAAGACATGTTCCACGTGTCCCTATTTTTTGACAAATTTGATCCCTGCCAACAGTAAAAAGAGGCTTAAATTGTCACTTGTTTAGGTAATATACAGATAAGCTGCTTGATAAAAATGATCAAAACACAAAGAAAATGACAAAGGAGAAATTCTATTTGTCAACTGGACAAAGTTTATTTGGTCGAATATGTTTTGCAGCTCAACCAAACTGCTTCTTTAGCTCCTCCCTGCAGACAGATATAAGGAAGTGTCCACCAACATTCTGACCAGGACTGAAGAAGCAGCTTGGATGAGCTGTGAAACTTATTCGACCAAATAAACTTGGAAGCCATGGATTCTACCTGCAATTTTTCACACAAAGAAAATGAATAAACACAAATGTGACTACCATATTTTCAGGCTATTAGTCGCTCTGGATTATAAGGAGCACTGTCATTAAATGGTCTGTTTTCGACCTTTTTTCGCAAATAAACCGCATCAGACTTTAAAGGAAACACAACAGTGTGATGGGTGAGTGGTTTTGTTTGTTTGTGTCGTTCACGGTGACTCTGGGCTTTGTTCAGTTGTGGCGTGTAGGGAGGTGTTGTCTGGGATCGCTGGATTGTCGGCGTGTTCGCAGTGACTCAGTTGTTCAGTCGTGTCTAGAAGTGGCACATTGCGCTCGCTTTTTCGGTTCGTTCCTCGTTGGCGTGGAGTGATGAGTGTGTCTGTGGGTGTGTTTCGCTGTGCGGTCGCTGTCTGCTCCGTGTGTGTTTGTGTGTTCTGCGGGTGGTGCGGCTTTGTAGTTTACTGAAGTCGTACTGGGACACCCGAGTGGATTCGTGTATAAGGTGCTCTGGCTTGCGCGGCGCACAGTCGTTTTTTGATGGGGTTAGAGGCTTAAGAGCGCGTCTAATAGCCCGGAAAAAACTGTATACTGACACATGTTGGTCATCAATGGGCTGAGAGCAGAGCTCGTTTGTGTTGACAGTCGCGTTGCGTATGTGGGTCCGGTCAAGTGGTAACGGAGGGAAACGGGGCAGATTTTTTACATTCAAATGTCTCTTATTCAGAAACTAGAGGGACTATTGAAATAAGTAAAGTATCAGAATGTAGGAAAGAGTTACACTCCAACAGGGTCAAGTTAAACCTGTGATATTCTTTCAAGTTGTTGACAAAAAATTTAAAAACTCATGTCAGTAACAGAGGGAATGAAATATGCAGCACTTTTTGGGCAATAAATACAAACAGTGATAACTAGCTTGGTTCTCACTTACATATAGTTATAGTTTTCTACCATATGGTACAAGATTAGGTTGAAAAACCTCTTACTTTTTGAGTTATGAGATTTTTTATTAAGAAAGGTCATGGTAACGGAGGGAAAAGTAACGGAGGGAAAATTGTGCAAACAAGTAGAAGGTGCAGGATTTTGCATAATTTGTCGCTTTTTTCTTCTGAATATTTTAATATTACTTCAGAATGAAAGGAAACTATTTCTATAAAATATGTCAGTCCTTCTAAGCAAATTTTTTTTAATTTTAAATACATAAAAAAAAAAAAATCATGTACCTTCATCAACAGTTCAAAGATCAAATAATACAAGATATGATGAAATACATCCATTTATTTACATGATTTGCAGGTCTTGTCATGTTTCATACATGGTCTGTTTAAAACGTATGTAACTTTAGAACCAAAAATGGTACAGAAAAAAGGTCAACAGTTTCATAAACTAGAGCACATATGTATCTGTTGAATACATTTTTATATCAGATGCATTAACTTGAATCTTTGGTCTTGCTGTTTACTTCTGCTTGACCGGGCCCATGTCTGTCATGAGATAATTCGTCTTATTTTGAAGTAGGTTTTGCATTTAATTGTTTTGACATGACTTCATCATCTTACTCAAAGTCACTGAATGTTGAGGATCAAAAACGTTATTTTGAAAAGTCAAAACTCGCCGATGACTGTTGACGATGTTGATGTTGACTTGTTGATACAGACGCTTTTTACCTGCCAAAATGGCTGACGTGATGTTATTGTGTTTTCTCGTATTTTCCTTCATTACAAACTCGTTTTACAATTTTATTATTACCAACCGCTGTAAGCCGGAAGTGTCCCAAGTTTTGATTTTGAAATCTGGTCACCCAAAGGAAACAACATTATAACATAGATTTAAAAAAATAGTAGTACGTGCCCTTTAAAAAGTGTTTAAAAAGTGTTCAGTGTCTACAAAAACCTTAGAAGAAAAGCAAGTTGTCAATCCTTCCTTCACTTCTGTTTACGTAATCTCCGTCGGGCTGCGCTCCCAAAACATTGAAGCGAAGTCAGATAGTGGAAGAGTCACTGATAAACCCGAGGGACAGTGAACGCAGCACGAAGGGGCAGATGAGGCTGGAAGGAGCCGGTCAAAGTCTAAACCAGGGCCCACGAACGAACGAACGCGCCGCGAGTTTAACCGGGCTAATCTCAAACGCTCTGATAAACGTCTTATCTTAAAACCTGCCACAGATCAATTAATATGAATTTTCAGCTGCAATTAAATAAATGTGATAAATTGCATTGATTTCTTTTTTTCCGGTTGAATTTTGACTTTTGTTTTAAATCGGTGTTTCAGTTCCTGTGTGGTTGCAAGAGCTTTGTGGTGCACTATGTCACTTTTTTTTTCTAATCTTCTTGTTTTCGTGGATGTTCTTGCTCTGAATAAACTACAGCATGGCATTAAACTTCGTCTAGTTCCATGGAAATAAGCGGGTGACGACGCTAAGGCCTAAGTTGCAGGTCAGATCTGTGGAGAGGCGAGTACGGGCTCATAGTAAGAATGCAACTTGTAAGTTTAAAGGTGCATTGTGTAATGTCCGTCAATTGCTTTTCTCCATAGAATGTTATTTCGTTGTCTGGAAAGTTTAAACCTTTCTATCTTCACGGAGACCAAACCAGACCAAGTTACGGGTCAGATCTGTGGAAAGGCGAGCCCGCTGACAGTCAGTTTTGCTGTTTTTCTAGGTATTTTTGAGCTATAAAACCACCTGTAATTGAATAAATGTAAGGAAGACCTGTTTAATGTCACACTGTGGAACATTCCAGGCAGAGCAATGGCATATCCATAGAAACAAGCAGGTGATGGGCTCCGAACCAAAAAGTTACACATTGCACGTTTAATGCTGTACTGTAGAACAGGTTTGTTAAACTCCAAAATTAAAAACTGGGACTAAGTCGTGGGCCAAACTAAATATTTACTGACAAATTTCAACAACATCTGCATGTTTTCTCTTCTTTTGAGATATGTAATGTTAAACCTTTTCTTATTAAAATACATGTTTAATAATAGTTTTTGCTTAAACACTAAATCCAGAACAAGCTAAATATAAAATAATAACAAAACTTTAAATAAATAATATCTGTATTAGCGGGCAGCTCTAATACATATTTGATATAATCTCGCGGGCCAAATGTTATTATCGCGGGCCAAATTTGGCCCCCGGGCCTGAGTTAGACATGTCTGTGTAGAACATTACTGGCAACATCACTGAAAATAAGCATAGTTCATAATGATACTTAGTGCACTTTTTAATCATTTTGAAAGATATTTGATTGCAATATTTTTATCAAATTATGAACGACTAAATTAACGGATCGTATGCATTTCAGAACACGTTTGTAGACGTCTAAACTACAGGGTTGGCAGGTTTTAAACAGAATTGAGACACAGGCAGGTTTAGTTCTGTGTGTAACATTTCGTCTTTGTTTGTTGTACTAGTTTGAGTTTGACTTCCTTTGCGGTGAACGGAGGAAGTTCGTAAATATGTGACCACATCAGTCATTTGTTAACGTGGGTTTTGCAAGAGAAACTGAGAGTCTGAAGAGGTGATAAAGAAGAAACGTACTTTTGTGTGTTAAAGGTCACTTTATTTTATTTATTTAAGTGTCCCTGTTACACTATTTTCTGATCTATGTTATAATGTTGTTTCCTCAGCACAAACAGACCTGGAGTTGTGTTTTGCTTCATTCACACTTGTTACTAACACACAAACCCTGCATATTTAAGAAAACACTCCGTTCCACCTTGTGATGTCATGTGGTGATACAGGAAGTGCTCCACACACCTTCACTAGAATCATTTGGATGATTTCAGCCCTGGAATTGCCAATTTCTACTGAACAAAAGGGAGCTATTAACTTGAAAACTACTACTTCATGACATCACAAGGTGGAACAGAGCATTTTGAGCTTTGGAGGTGTAAACAGACTGATAAAAAGGATCACTCAAACATCTGTGAATGAAACAAAACACAAAACACACACAAAACTCCAGGTTTGTTTTTGAGGAGGTAACAACATTATAACATGACTAAACGCTCACACGAGTTAATTTTGTGTAACATAGGACCTTCGAAGTCTGTCTTGTTCAAGAAATTAACATTTAAATCATGTTTTATTGTTTTAATTAAGACCAGGACTAAACCAGGACTAAACCAGAACTAAACCAGACTAAAACCAGAACTAAAACCAGAACTAAAACCAGAACAAAAACCAGGTCTAAACCAGGTCTAAACCAGGCCTAAACCAGGCCTAAACCAGGTCTAAACCAGGACTAAACCAGAACTAAAACCAATTCTAAACCAGGACTAAACCAGGACTAAACCAGAACTAAAACCAATTCTAAACCAGGACTAAACCAGAACTAAAACCAGAACTAAAACCAGGTCTAAACCAGGTCTAAACCAGAGCTAAAACCAGAACTGAAACCAGAGCTAAAACCAGAACTAAAACCAGAACTAAAACCAGGACTAAACCAGGACTAAACCAGAACTAACACCAGGACTAAATCCAGGACTAACCCATTCCAGGACTAAACTAGGACTAAAGCAGGTCTAAACCAGGACTAAAACCAGTGATCTCATATATAAAACATTTCTCTATCAATAATATTTTTAATATGGTTAAGGAAAGACTGGACTTTTTATTGTCTTTAAGTCGACAAAAGTTATTATGTTCAGATTTCCTCGTCTTTGCTACTTTACAGCAAACAGTTTCTTATTCATGGAGACTTGGGCTCAACAGCCAATTTGGAGAGATTTGTTAAACAATAAATGACTTTATAAAGTCACTTTTTTAAATCTATATCAGTCTTTTGATCTGCCACAATAATGTAATAATGAATTTAAATGAAAATACCTCAAATTGAAGCTTTTCTCAGCAATTTTTAGGTGAGATTAAAAAGAGATTAATTAGATTAATTAATTACAGATCATAATTAATTAATCTCTCAATTTTTTTAATCGCATGACAGCACTAATAATTATAATAATATTTAGTATCAAAATCAAGTTCTCTCTCTTTCTCTCTCTCTCTCTGCCCAGGTTAAGTTCTTGCTCACTGGATGAGTGCGACGCTGCGCCCCCTGCTGGTGTCGCTGTGTGTTGGCACGAGGAGCAGAAGGAGGCGCTGACAGAGACCCTGCAGAGTCTACAGAGACAGCTGGCCAACGAGAGGAGCCGTAGGGAGCGGGCGGAGCGAGACGCAGAGATATTAGCCAATGAGAACGCAGCGCTAGAACAGCAACTGACGGCCACGGAGGGATGCAAGGTACGGTCTGATGTATGTCTTATAGGGAGGTAACAAGAATCGAAATATTGTGATACCGTATCGTCAAAAGTCTCACAAAAACATCGTGGGCCATCCCAATATATCGAATCACAAGTCTCTTTGCGTAAATTAATTGTTTTGGTGCAAAAATATCTAAAAATACAGCGGAAACTACATAGACCATGATCCTTTGCTTTGACTACATAAAGAAATAGATGTTATAATCACTTTTAAATCTTAATTCTTTGGATTATGAAAGCACCAAAGGCTTGTCAAGGCATTTTAAGAGGAGCGTATTCACAGTTTTGTTTGCCTCCACAAAATATCGCAATAAATATCGTACCATGAGATGCATATCGTGAAAATATCGTCCCGAGTGATTTCAATATCGTTACATCCTTAATGTCTTATGAATAGTTTTAGGGTCATTTTTTGTAACATTCTAACCGTAGACCGTATATAAAAATGACCGTAGCTAACTCGATAGCTGCCCCATTCCAAATAGGAAGTGAGCATGGGGACACTTCTGGCTCCATCGACTCTAGTTCCCCTTCACTTTACCTTGAAAAATTGTTGCTCCTCTTTCTGTAACTGCTGCAGTGAGCCTCGTCATTTTGGTTGTAAAATGTCTGCATTAATCCGCTCTACATGATCCTGGTGTTTTTATTTCACTACTTTGTCCGTAAATAAATTCCTATTCCTAATATTATACACACTCTGCTCCAAATTCACCCCTATAACTGGCAGCATCGATGAGCTTCATTAGACTGGACCCGAACGCTATAGGTGACGTTGCGCTCCCTTAGTCCTCTTCTTTATACGATCTTTGGTTTGTTTCATTCACACGTTTGAATAATCCTTTATTATCAAGGCAAGGCAAGTTTATTTGTAGAGCACAATTCTTACACAAAGTAATTCAAAGTGCTTTACAGAATAAGAAATACATTAAAATCACAATAAAAACAAATCAAAACATAAATAATCATGCAGATTAAAATTTAAAAAAGAGAGACATAAATTGGAGAGAAGAGTGCGGAATGAAAACCTTTCAGTTATATGCACAGTTAAACAGAAATGTTTTGAGTCTGGATTTAAACAGCGTCACAGAAGAGTCTGTCTCACATGTTCAGACTGTTCCAGGTTTTAGCTGCATGAACCTGAAACTCTGACTCCCCTTGTTTAGTCGTGACTCTGGGCACCAGCAGGAGGTCGGTCCCTGAGCTCCTCAGAGTGTGAGATGGTTCATATGACACTAACATGTCACAGATGGACTTTGGTGCTCGGCCATGGATCATTATCAGTCTGTCTATGGCCCCGTCCGCACTAGTACGTATTCGAATCGTTTTCATGTGTGGATGCAGTGTTCGTTCACACTAATACGATGGAAAACGGCTCCAGAGACGGAACGATCTGGTGCCACCAACTCCCACGAATTCACCTGAGTACAGATCTGATCCGGCACTGTGTGGACGCCTGAAAACACTGATACTCTGATGTAGGTCTGTGCACCGTGAAGTATTTCACCGCCAAAACACTAAGAGGCTAGAATATATGTCCAGTCATATATACGTGTGTCTGTGTGTACGACCTGCAGACGTATAATCTCTGAAAAGTTTAACATGAACCATCTCCAACACGACAGAAACACAGAACAGACTCACCATCAGCAGAACACCCCTCTGTCACAGGAACAACACTCATATTCCTGTTGTGTCCTTTAGTCCGACAGAAGCTGATCCGCATCAGCGCACAAGGAGTGAGCTGTTTTTTTCAGCGCTTATAGATTTATGCAAATTAGCCATGTGGTTTTAAGTTTCATTTCTGTAAAACGTAAACAAATATGCTCAAAGCTACATGGATAGGGAAAGCTTGCGGACACAGAAACGACGTGTCTGGATACAAATCGTTTCTGATACGGAGATTCTGTGATTCGTTTCAGTGTAAACGTAGCCTACGTCTCCAGAACTGAAAATGCTCCGTTCCACCTTGTGATGTCACGAGTTCAGCAGATTTTTTTGTAGTTCTGTATTACCACGTGACATCACAAGGTGGAGCAAAGCGTTTTCAGTTTGAGAGGAAAAACTCCAGGTCTAAATCTGCAGGGTTTGTGAGTTAAACATGTGTGAATGAAACAAAACACAACTCCATTTATGTGTTTTTTTTATTTTTTGCTGAGGAAACATTATAACATAGATCAGAAATCGGCGTAATATGGGCTCTTTAAGGCATCAAAACACTGTCTGAACACTGATATTTTGTGTTGCATCACCCGTATCCAGGTGTCTTTGCAGAGATAACTTTATCACTGGCACAGTTTCACATGCAGGCCTAATAAACATGTACTAGACTTAACATTATATAACCCCATATCTGAGACTTTATGACTTAATTCAAATACGACCGACTGCAGGATAAATACAGGTACACCTTATCGAGAGAGGAAAGAACGTTATAATCTCGCAGTACCACTCTTGTTTCGTTTGCTTTCTCTAAAAAAACAAAACTAAAATACAACAAACTAAATATACAAAATCCAAACAAATAACTATAAATATATATAAAAACAGTGACTTAAAAATAAAAATGTGATCAAATTAATAACTTTCTATGTATATGAGCAAAATTTTTTTACCACGGTCAGTGAGAGTTCTGGTTTAATACTCGGTTCAGTCCTGGTTTAGACCTAGTTTAGTCCTGGTTTAGTCCTCGGTTCTGTCCTGGTTTAGACCTAGTTTAGTCCTGGTTTAGTCCTCGGTTTAGTCCTGGTTTAGTGCTAGTTTAGTCCTGGTTTAGTCCTGGTTCAGTCCTGGTTTAGACCTAGTTTAGTCCTGGTTTAGTCCTCGGTTCAGTCCTGGTTTAGTGCTAGTTTAGTCCTGGTTCAGTCCTGGTTCAGCTCTGGTTTAGTCTTGGTTTAGACCTAGTTTAATCCTGGTTTAGTCCACGGTTCAGTCCTGGTTTAGACCTAGTTTAGTCCTGGTTTAGACCTAGTTTAATCCTGGTTTAGACCTAGTTTAGTCCTGGTTTAGACCTAGTTTAATCCTGGTTTAGACCTAGTTTAGTCCTGGTTTAGACCTAGTTTAGCCCTGGTTCAGTCCTGGCTTAGCTCTCGTTTAGACCTAGTTTAGTCCCGGTTTAGTCCTGGTTCAGATCTGGTTTAGTCCTAGTTTAATCCTGGTTTAGTCCTGGTTCAGTTCGGGTTCAGCTCTGGTTCAGTTTTGGTTCAGTCCTTGGTTCAGTCCTGGTTCAGTCCTGGTTCAGTCCTGGTTTATATCTAGTTTAGTCCTGGTTCAGTCCTGGTTCAGTCCTGGTTTAGTCCTGGTTCAGTCCATATATGGCACAAAAGTTCAGCATCTTCGCAGTTATTTTGGTGAGAGTCTCTTAAAGTGCTGCAATAGTCGTGTAATATTTAACATTTTAAATACAGTAATACTGTTATGTAAAGAATTACTTTGAAATGACAGAAACAAGTCATAATAAGAAATAACACATTACAGTTTTAAAGTAACTTGCCCAACAGTGATGAGGAATAACTTTGTACCACTGCAAACAATTTAAAATGAACTATTTCTTTTTTGTTTTTCATTTTAGAACAGTAAAATTCAGGCACAGCGCTTCTGTAAGAGTTTGTAACTAGAAAAAAAAAAAAAGTGTCGTGACATCCCTTCTTCTTCTAATGTTGTATTTGCTCATAATACACAAGACACAAGGAAAGGGTTAAACGTGTAAAGGATTAATAGAACAGTTAAACGGGAGTGGTGCTAGTGAAATCACAACGCTGCCTTAATCTCCTTAATCACGGGCGGGGTTCACATGACAACAATATAGTTTTAAAAAAAAAATCCGGTTTACGTTAGTGTCTATGTAACAGTTTTTGTTTGACGAGAATAGACCCAGTAATTACAAAGTTCTGTCTTTCCAGTCAGCTAAAATTAACCGGTGGTATTATTAAATTAAAATTACACAACGAGGAGCAAGTTTTAACACACGCCATGGAGTCACAGAACACACATAAAATACCACGGCTACAAACTTAAATGTCTCTAGTGTTGGGGAGTAATGGATTACATGTAGCAGCGTTACGTAATCAGAATACAAATTAAGAGTAACTGGATTTGGTTAGAGTTACTGTTTCAGTGAGTGGTAATTGGATTACAGTTACTTTGTTGAAATAAACGGATTACACTGCGTTATTTTCCTGTTTTCACATTTTCATTTTAAAAATATTCTTCATTTATTTAAAGTGAATACAGTGGTCGCTCGTTTATCGCGGGGGTTACGTTCTAAAAATAACCCACGATAGGTGAAATCCGCGAAGTATTCAACTTTATATTTTACTTATTGAATCCTTCTTAAAACTTATTGCTGCTGACGTCCTTTTCTTATTTTCCTCTTTCTTTATGTAATGAACCGAAGAGTCATTTATTCCGTAGCACTACAGCGCAGAGTCCTGCACGGGTCCATTTCTGGAGATCCGCACCCACGCAGTACAGCACTGCCCCTGCCCGCACCTGCCCACACCTGCCTGTTAACCCGAGATTATGTCAAATTTTTGCGCTGCACACGTCAAGGACTGGACCAAGACTAAACCAGGACTAACCCAGGACTAAACCAGGACTGAACCAGGACTAACCCAGGACTAACCCAGGACTAAACCAGGACTGAACCAGGACTAACCCAGGACTAACCCAGGACTGATTCCAGGACTGAAGAGGAGGAGTAAACCAGAAATGAACTACGACTAAACCAGGACTAAAATAGGACTAAACCAGGACTAACCCAGGACTAACCCAGGACTGATTCCAGGACTGAAGAGGAGGAGTAAACCAGAAATGAACTACGACTAAACCAGGACTAAAATAGGACTAAACCAGGACTAAACCAGGACTAAACCAGGACTGAAACAGGACTCACTGTCGGGACGGGCTCGGAGGTGACCACAGGTGAAAGGACCGACAGAGAGCTTTGGACACCCTGCTTTGGTGTTCTCTCTCTTAAGACCAAGATTAGTCCTGGTTTAGACCTGGTTTAGTCCTGACCCACCCGTATGTAATTACTACCCGCTCATAATACACAATACGTATTCATACTCTGTTAAAAAAAGCAGTAAAAAAAATCTGCGAAACAGCGAGACCACGAAAGGTGAACCGCGATATTGCGAGTTTAAAATAATGTTGCATACATCAATGTGAATGAAAAGGAGCAGAAAGATGTATGAACTTTTAATATCAGACCCATTTCATAGAAAAAAACATTGGCAGCAACTACAGAACAGCTTTGTATGAGTAAAACTTCAAACATTAGACACTTTTGTCCTGAGAACTGTTACTCACCTCACACCTCAGACTGCCCTGATTTTGGATGTGATGACTCGACCTTTTATTATTGTATTTCACTGCTCAGACTGAAAAAAACCCAATATATAGGTAAGTTAAAATGACTTAAATTAAGAACATTTTACTTTATTTGAGTTGATTCAACTTGACAAGTAAAATTATCTACCAGTGTGTTTTCCTTAATTCAAGCAACATTTGATTTTTTTTTTCTTATTTTAAGTGTAACAAGATGTATTTTCATATTTTAAGTACAAAAAATATTGTTCCATTGGCAGATAATTTTACTTGTCAAGTGAAATTGACTCAAATCATGATTAAAACTTTCTTAATTCAAGTCATCTTAACTTGACTAGATTTAGTTTTTTGCAGTTCAATGTGCTTCAATTGCAAAAATATTTACTGTTTTGATTATAAGTCATCCTGGGTCTACATCAAGTCTCATTACGTCAAATTAAACGCCCAATGTTTTGTATAATGTCTCCTTGTTTTGATTTGCTTTTAACATCCTATTTCTTCGTATTATTTTCAGACCAGACTAATCGAACTAGAACAAGAAGCCGACGAACTACGCCAGCTTTGGAAGCTACAATCCTCCTCTCGATCTCTTCTTTTCGACGCCAACATTTTGGACGAAAACCACCTCGATTCTTCCAAAAACTCCCGTCTCCTGAAACGCAGCGGCAGCGATCGCGCCATCGCCAAATCCACGCACTTCCCCGACTCTCCGGACGACCACGCCTGCTCCTGTATCAGACGCCACGACGCTTTCAAGTACCGTGGGATTTCTCTGCTCAACGAAGTCGATGCCCAGTACAGTGCCTTGCAGGTCAAGTACGAGGAACTTTTAAACCGCTGTCAACCAAATATTCTCCAAGAAGACTCCACACAAAATGAAGTTCGAATCGATTCCCAAAATTCCAAAATGTCAGAATTTGAAAATTTTAAAGATGATATGCACCAACCAGAATATAAGGAGTTGTTTAGGGAGATCTTTCGACGTATTCAGAAAACCAAAGAGGACCTGATTGAGAACAGGGGACGAGTAATGAATGGGGATGGATAGTAAGTAGTGCCTATAGCAAAGGATAATCACGGTTTAAGCCAGATGCCCTCCCTCCATCGCAAAACAGGAATGTCTACGATACTTGAATTCATAATGTTGAGTCTTTTATTGAGTCGTTTTGATTTGTTAGTTGATTATTTTGACTTGTAAAAGAACAAAGGGGAAAAATCTAAATTAAGTGTTTTTGTTTTTTTTCAATTAGAAATGTCTTTAAAAAATTTTATCTGACATTTTTGTATATTAGTCAAGTAAAAAAATAATATCTACAATACTTGAATTCAAAACGTTGAGTGTTTATTGAATAGTTTTGAATTGTCAGTTGGTTATTTTGACTGGTAAAAGAAAGAAAAAAAATATCCTAATTAAGTGGATTTTTGGTATTTTTTTCAATCTGAAATGTCCTAAAAAAAAAAAAAAATCAGACATTTTTGTATATTGGTCACGTAAAGAAATAATATCTTGAAATCAAAACATCGTCTATATTGAGAAGTTTTGATTTGTCAGTTTATTATTTTGAATGGTAAAAGAAAGAAAAAAAAATCCTAATTAATTGGATTTTTTATATTTTTCGCAATTTGAAATGTCTTTAAAAAAATTAAATTGGGCATTTTTAAATATTAGTCAAGTAAAGAATTAATATCTGCATTACTTGAATTCAAAACATTGAGTCTTTATTGAGTAGTTTCAATTTATAAGTTGATTACTCTGACTGGTAAAAAAAGAAAAAAAAAAAAATCCAAATTAAGAGGATTTTTTTTTTTGCATTTTTTCCCAATTTGAAATATCTTTAAAAAATAATAAAATCTGACAATTTTTGTATTAGTCAAGTAAAGAAATAATATCTTGAAATCAAAACATCGTCTTTATTGAGAAGTTTTGATTTGTCAGTTTATTATTGTGATTGGTAAAAAAAAAGAAAAAAAAATCCAAATTAAGAGGATTTTTTTTTTGCATTTTTTCACGATTTGAAATATCTTTAAAAAATAATAAAATCTGACAATTTTTGTATTAGTCAAGTAAAGAAATAATATCTACAATACTTGAATTCAAAAGTCTTTATTGAGTAGATTTGATTTGTCAGTATGTTATTTTGACTGGTAAAAATAAGGAAAGAAATTCCAAATTAAGTGGATTTTTTGGGTAATTTTTTCAATTTGAAAAAAAACAAACAAAAAAAAACATGGACATTTCTATATATCTATGTATGTATGTATTGTTTAAGCAAGTGTTTAAGCGACATGTATGGTTCATGTAATATGTAAGAGTTTGATCTTATGGGGGCACAACAGTTAATCATGGAAGCTTTTATGCCAGATGCCCTTCCGTTTGAAACTACTATAGGCCTTCATTTAGTCAGACAAAGGACTGGCTGCTGTTATGATGTCGTCTCTTAATTTATCTACTGCTGTTTGGGACGTGAAGTAATTTATTTTAAGCTATAGAAATGTGAATTGTTAGATGAAAAAAAAGAAAAAAAAGATTGATTTTGTATTGTCCATATTAAGTTCAATTAGCCATTTGAACCTATTATTGTCACGGCCATTTAAATATCTTTTATTTTGAAATTGCATAGAGGAAACATTATGTGGTAGGTTGTTATGCAAAAAGAAAAAAAAAGGAAAAAAATGATGGTGCTTAACCCAGGGCTATGTATGCTTTTGATAATTGTTAGACTGTGAATATCTGAATTTACTATAAGTAAAGCATGAAATATGATGTCTTAGTCTGTAGGTTTTTCAAAATAAAAGTGCCAAAATGAAACCGCATAGGACAACATGTACATATTCAGAATGAGACAGACATTTTGTTTTGAAATGTTATTAAAAGGAATATTTCTTCTGATAGTGAATGAAGATTTGTTTATTCAGTAATATGTAATTTTTTCAGTCTAGTTCGTTTTCAGTTTAAACTTTGTTAAAGGTGCACTGTGTAACATTTCAGGCCATCTGCTGTTCTCCATGGAGATGTTAAGACACAAGCAGGTGATGCTCTAGGCCGAGTTACAGGTCAGATCTGTGGGAGGTCCATCTTTAGAGACCCACACTCGCCCGTTAACCCGTGATTATATCAAAGTTAAATCTGCACCTGCCCGGACCCGTTAACATTGCATCCGTTACCACCCGAGATAAATCGGGGTCGGGCCATTAGTCCGACAGCCTAACAGTCCAGGACTAAACCAGGACTTAATCAGGACTACACCACGACTGAACCAGGTCTATAACCAGGTCTATAACCAGGTCTAAACCAGGACTAAACCAGTGTAATTAGCATAAATATATAGGTCTATACGCCGCAACCCCTGAGCCGATTGCCAGGACTAAACCAGGACTGGACCAGGTCTAAACCAGGACTAAACCAGGACTAAACCTACACCGAGTCATTAGCAGATTATAAATATATACACGCCGCAAACCAAAGAGCCGATCGCCAGGACTAAACCAGGACTTAATCAGGACTACACCACGACTGAACCAGGTCTATAACCAGGTCTAAACCAGGTCTAAACCAGGTCTAAACCAGTATAATTAGCATAAATATATAGGTCTACACGCCGCAACCGCTGAGCCGATTGCCAGGACTAAACCAGGACTTAATCAGGACTACACCACGACTGAACCAGGTCTATAACCAGGACTAAACCAGGACTAAACCAGTGTAATTAGCATAAATATATAGGTCTACACGCCGCAACCGCTGAGCCGATTGCCAGGACTACACCAGGACTGGACCAGGTCTAAACCAGGACTAAACCTACGCCGTGTCATTAGCGGATTATAAATATATACACGCCGCAAACCAAAGAGCCGATCGCCAGGACTAAACCAGGACTTAATCAGGACTACACCATGACTGAACCAGGTCTATAACCAGGTCTAAACCAGGTCTATAACCAGGTCTAAACCAGGACTAAACCAGTGTAATTAGCATAAATATATAGGTCTACACGCAGAGACCGCTGAGCCGATCGCCAGGACTAAACCAGGACTTAATCAGGACTACACCACGACTGAACCAGGTCTATAACCAGGACTAAACCAGGACTAAACCAGGACTAAACCAGTGTAATTAGCATAAATATATAGGTCTACACGCCGCAACCGCTGAGCCGATTGCCAGGACTACACCAGGACTGGACCAGGTCTAAACCAGGACTAAACCTACGCCGTGTCATTAGCGGATTATAAATATATACACGCTGCAATCACAAAGCTGATCGCCAGGACTGAACCATGTGTAAACCAGGTCTAAACTAGGTCTAAACCAGATCTAAACCAGGACTACACCAGGTCTACACCAGGTCTGAACCAGGTCTAAACCGGGACTAAACCACTGATGTGTTCGTGTAATAAAAACACTAAAGTCACTCTCAGCCTGGTCCATCGTTCCAGGAACCGATTGGGAAATGTCGCTTGTTTCCCGTTCGCCGTTCATTTGGTTCACGCTTGTGTTTAATCACGACCCACCTGCAAACCCGCCCGTAAAATTCCAGAACTAATTGCGGGCACTTGACCCGGCGCAGGACTCAGGTCTGTGGAGAGGTGATCCCACTCCCAGCTAGAATACGGGTTTTTCACACCTCTACTTCAATAAATGTAAGATGGTTTAACATTTAAAGCTATACTCTGGAACATTCTAACATCTCCATAAGGGAAGCAGGTAGCAGACCCCACCTCCCCACCAGAAAAGTTCCACAGTGCACGTTTAAGAGCCGATCTAAAAAGTAAAAATACACATCAGGAGTATGAAGCATTTTTTTGTTGCTTTTTTTTTTTTTTTTTTTGTTCATTCCTGCGATCCATGGTTTAAAAATCATGAGAAATTGACCTGTTGCCATAGCGATTAACAATTTAAAACAAAATATTACACGTGCAGACTGCGAAATACTCCTAAAAAACGTTGCAATCAATTGAATTTTTTACTTGAATCTCCCCTGATCCACTCTTAACTCCAAAGGTTCTCGTTATCTGGTGTTACGTAACATCGTGCCGTTTATTGACCCGATGATTCCCGTGTACGCTGACATGAACGCAAGCCGTGTGTGTTGTGTTGCGTTCGAGGACCTCCTGCTGTCTGCCTTGCGTATAGATTTCGATGTAAAATATGTGGCGTTCAAATGCACTTTAGACTTGCACAGATAATATTAATGACACTTTATAATCTGTCGTACGAAGTGAGTGAATAATTGACCGTACGTCGCCCACACTGTGTTTGAGAATGTTGGACATGAGAATGTTGGAGCCAATAAAATAATATGAAACTTGAGTCCTCTTTTATTCTTTGTTTATTTGAAAATTGTGATATTACTTCTTTCGATTATTTGTAAAAAGTTGAACATTTGAGCGCGTTTGGTCAGTTTCTATCAACACTAATTGCAGAAAATATAAAGGTGCAGAGTGTAACTTTCGCGGTGAGAGGTTTAAATAGAGATTTGATTGATCTGCCTGGAATATTCCACAGTATGGCATTAAACCAAGTGGAGGAGCTCAAGTATCTCGGGGTCTTGTTCGTGATGGAGCGTGAGATTGACAGGTGGATCGGTGCAGCACTGGCAGTGATGCGGTCACTGTATCGGCGAGTTTCAGCTGACGTCATTGTTATTAAAAGCCCGCGTTGCATGCTGGGAAATATTTGGTCGGAGGCAAGAAACACTGTAGCGGTCAAACACAGTGCGTAACCTCGCGTATTTATCCCCGATAATGGTAAATTCCTGCTGCATTATCAGGATGCACAAATAGAAGCACGGAAGAAGGAAAATGTCTTTTTCGTATTCTGAGTGAAAAGAACCGCTAACGGTGAATTAAACGACTTTCAAACATTCGCAGAGCAAACGTAGAAGATCCTAACAAACCGTGGACTCCAACAAGTTCAACAACACATCGAGACTCTTGGAGGTTTTCATCTTTTCTGCTGTGAATGGCCCAGGAGTTTCCACCAAGTCATTGTGGATATCAAAGAAGTGAGTATTTGTCCAGGTATTTGGCGATTCAGACCAGAAATTTGGTGTCGTCCACCTTTTGTCGGGGTTGAAAAGGGTGATTTGGCTCAGTCGATGCTTATGACCAATTTCTGGTCAAATGGTCTTCGGTCCTCTGCCGTTAGACTGGATAAATAACTGGGATCAATACCCTTTACGTGCTTTCTCGCTCCGTCCGTCATGTTGAATTAGTGTTTCTTGCCGCCGACCAAAATAATTCCCAGCATGCAACGCGCGCTTTTGTCAACAATGAAACTCGCCTATCGGACCGTTGTGGTGAAGGAGCTGAGTCAAAAGGCGAAGCTCTCGATTTACAGTCAGTCTTCGTTCCTCCCCTCGCCGATGGTCATGAGCTCTGAGTAGTGACCGAAAGGACGAGATCGCGGATACAAGCGCTCGAAATGAGTTTCCTCTGCAGGGTGTCTGGGCGCTGCCTTAGAGACAGGGTGAGGAGCTCAGTCACACGAGAGGAGCTCGGAGTAGAGTCGCTGCTCCTCCACGTCAAGAGGAGCAGCTGAGGCTTGGGGATCTGTTCCGGATGCCTCCTGAGCGCCGACCTGGAGAGGAGACCCCCAGGAAAGACCCAGGACACGTTGGAGGGACTGTGTCTCTAGCCTGATTCATCAGTCGGTTTCACCCCCCGCAGCCTTTGGATTTCGTTCGCTTGACGGTAGGCAGATACTTTTTATCATTTGCTGCTATTTGGTCATGATGTATGTAATGCGCTGCTAATGGGGCTAACTGGTTTATTAAGCTTTTCCCAAATCCTGTAGGAAGAAGGAAAATAACGTCTTTCCCCTTGATGAACATTCTCTTTGTTCCAGCTTTAAATCCTCAATCTCGGGAATTGTTGACAATACAGAATACATGGCTCTTTGCTAATTGGCTGGTGCCTGAACTCGCACTTCAGGGGTTTTGCGAACTGTCTAGTGCACAGGTGTCAAACATAAGGCCCGGGGGCTGGATCCGGCCCTCCAAGACCTTTAATGTGGCCCTCGGCTGATTTTCTACTAAAATATTTTAATTATATTTTCTTTTAAAATATTGTATTTTCTGTGGTGTTTATCACAGCAGCGTCTCCAGTGTCTCTGTACGTGGCCCCTCCCACCAGAGCAGCACAAATGAAGACTTGTCTCTTTCCAAACGCTCTTAAAGGACGATCGTTTTGACTGTTGACCGTGACACCCTCATCAACAAAATGTCAAAAATGAGAAAAGTGGAGCCGAGTGCAGGATTTTCCCCCCAAAAAATTGACTTATTCCTATTTACATACAATTTAATGTTAAAACACTATGTTGAAATTACATTTTTCTTAAAGTTTCAGGTTGTTCATAATATTATAATATTTTGTAAAAGAAAGAGTTCATCAATTAAAACTGATTTCTGTAATAGATTTGTGTTTCTCTGCACAAATATTTGAACTTATTGTTATTTTTGGGGTTTATATGACATGAGTTTTCTGATCCGGCCCCTTTGGGATCAAAGTAGGCTGGATACGGCCCCCGGACCAAAATGAGTTTGACACCCCTGGTCTAGTGTGTATTCTGATTCCTGACCTAGTCACCGGAGAGAAATGAAACTGAGTGGAGGCACTAGGTGGCACCAGCCTGGCTGCTATGTCTCTGGGTTGGCCGGGGAATGCCAGCCGGAAGACCTGGAGGAAGTGTTTGTGGAGAGGGAAGTCTAGAAGTCCCTGCTTAGACTGCTGCACCTCCGACCTGGTCCCAGATAAAGCTTAAGAAAATGGATGTCATTAAACCAATTATTTATCATTCCCCTCCCCCCCAATTACACTTGTTTTTATTGCTCAAAACTAGCTTGAAGAAAACATGTTATTGTGAGCGGGGCCACTTTTCCACAAATGAGTTTAAACCCTTTCTGTGAAACATTAAAGGTCCTACACAAAATTGACTCCTGTGAACTTTAGTCCATGTTAAAATGTTATTTTCTCATCAAAAACAGACCTGGAGTTGTGTTTTTTGTATTTCTTTCACACACGTTTGCGTAATCCTGCCTCATTTTCACATGTAACTATTAGAATTAGTTCAGCAGAAACGTTAAATGATTCAAGTGAAGGTGTATGGAGTTTAAAAACACAGTGGAGTGACAAATCCTGTATTACCACGTGACATCACAAGGTGGAACAGTGTGTTTTCAGTTTGGGAGAAGCAGGTTTGTGTGTTAAAACATGTGTGAATGAAACAAAACACAAGTCCAGGTCTGTTTGTGATGAGGAAACATTAAAACATAGACCAGAAAATAGTTTAATATGGGCCCTTAAATATAAATGTAAACACTAGTGAAGATAAATTAAGCATTTTTTTTTTATGGTGGCAACAAATATTTTCATTTTATAGGGTCAAATTTTTCTAAAAACCTGCATTTTAAATCAGTTTTTAAAGGAATCACCAATGGACCAATGGAGAAATGTGTCAACTTATTTTATTGATATTGTACAGAAATGAAAAATTGTCATGAAATTTCTCACAGCTAGTTTTAGAATTCAGAACTTATGCATCATTGAGTTTTGTTTTTTTTTCTTTTACATGTCCCCATTTGAGGCAGAGGCACTTTTAATATCGACTCGAGTTAGCAGCAAAATACGTCAGCATAATACCAAAACTTTCTATCCAAATCTGAGTACGTTTTTCACAATCTTGGAAAATTCACTCTCGGGAAGCAAAGACTGATCCTAAATAAACCAAACATTCGCCGTTATTTTTTCAAATCTTGTAACATTTTGGTCTTACAGTTCAAAACTTTTAAAACAAGATAGCAGCGTTAAGAATCCCCACAAAAAACTACAATTTGCTTAGTTTTTAATAAGCGCTTTGTGTCTTAAATGCCGCTCAAAAAAGCATGAATTTTGCCATTTTTTAAGTTAATTAAACCTAAACTTATTTTTTTCGCTAAATTAGATTAAATAAATATCATTTTTGTAACGGGAAGACTTAAAAATATATGGAAAATAATCTGTGAATTATTTGTTTGTTCATTCTTCAAAATAAAACCAAAAAAAAAAAAAAAAAAACTGAAAAAAAAAAAAATTATATATATATATATATATATATATATTTTTTCATTATTTGTCTCCAAAACCAAAATGAAAAAACAGATAATGATTTGTTTTTTCAGTTTACATTTTGTGTTTAAATTCATACCAAGACTGTGACCGGGAGCGAGACCAGAACTGAGACCAGAACAGGACCGGGACTGAGGCCGGGACCAGACCGTGATTGAGACTGGGACTGAGACCAGACCGGGACTGAGACCGGACCACAACTGAGACCGGGACCGAGGCCGGGACCAGAACTGAGACCTGGAACAGGACCAGGACTGAGGCCGGGACTGAGACCGTGATTGTGACCGGGACTGAAAACAGTTCAGTCCTGGTTCAGTCCTGGTTCAGTCCTGGTTCAGTCCTGGTTCAGTCCTGGTTCAGTCCGGCGTCACAGTTTAAGTCACGTAAACGGGAAACGTCCATTATCCGTTTTTTTCATTCTTCATTTAAACACAAAATCAAAAACTGAAAAAAACAAATAAATATCTGTTTTTCATTCTGGTTTTGGAGACAAATAATAAAGAAAACTGTTGTTTTTTCGTTTCTTATTTTTGGTTTTAGATTGAAAAACAAATGAACGAATGAAACACGGATTGAAAATAAACCACTTTTATATTCAGTTGTGAGAGATGAGAGTTAGTTTAAAGTTTAAAGTCCGTGTGATGTTATTGTTTGTCAAGATTGTCTTCATGAAAAAGTAGAATTTTGAAACTTTAAATCGTAAACCGTTTTTTCTCCTGATTTTGTCTCCAGTTCTTCATGTGTCTTGATCTTCTGTCACTGCCGTACACTTAATTTCAAAATGCCTGAAAGCTGAAATGACAGAAACTCCTCGTCCAGCGCGGGCGTTTTGTGAGCCCGGTCGGAGCAGCGTCATGATTGGCTGTCTGGCCTCCGTGCTGCTCTCTGATTGGACAGTTCAGAGGTGCGTTTGATGATGTGGGTTTGCGGGTGGGAGGGTGGTCCGGAGGGGGGCTCGGTGTCACGATGGGCAGGTCCCTCTGAGGTACCACTGCCCTGAAGCGCTGATGCAGCACTCCTGAAACAACAAAACACAACACAACACGGAGTTAAAACATCAAAATGTACTAAACAAAAGATCGAAGACGAGTGACAAAAGAAAACTGATGAAACTGATGAAACGGTGAATCTCTGTATCATTCGTTCATTTGTTTTTCAAAATAAAACCAAAAATAAGAAAAAAAAAACAAAAAATTTTTTCATTATTTGTCTCCAAAACCAAAATGATTTTTTTTTCTTTTCGATTTTGTGTGTAAATGAATAATGGAAAAAACTGTTAACTTCCCGTTTCCGTGACTTTAACTGCGATGATGGACTTTTGCACCGCATATGAACTGAACCAAGACTTAGACCAAGACTTAGACCAAGACTTAGACCAAGACTTAGACCAAGACTTAGACCAAGACTTAGACCAAGACTTAGACCAAGACTTAGACCAAGGATTTAGACCAAGATTTAGACCAAGATTTAGACCAGGATTTAGACCAGGATTAGACCAGGATTAGGACCAGGATTAGACCAGGATTAGGACCAGGATTAGGACCGGGAACAGGATTGGGACTGAGACCAAGACTTAGACTGGGACCAGACCAGGACTGAGGCAGAGACCAGAGCAGGACTGAGACCGGGACCAGCACCGAGACCAGCACCGAGACCAGCACCGAGACCAGCACCGAGACCAGCACCGAGACCAGCACCGAGACCAGGACCGAGACCAGGACCGAGACCAAGACCAAGACCTAGACCAAGACCAAGACTTAGACCAAGACTTAGACCAAGACTTAGACCAAGACTGGGACCTTAGACCAGGACTGAGGCAGAGACCAGAGCAGGACTGAGACCAGGACTGAGGCAGAGACCAGAGCAGGACTGAGACCAGGACTGAGGCAGAGACCAGAGCAGGACTGAGACCGGGACTGAGACCGGGACTGAGACCGGGACTGAGACCGGGACCAGAGCAGGACTGAGACCAGGACTGAGACCGGGACCGAGACTGGGACCAGACCAGGACTGAAAATGGTTTAATCCTGATTCTGTCCTGATTCAGTCGTATACGGCTCAAAAGTCCAACTTCACAGTTTAAGTCACGTAAATGGGAAACGGCCGTTATCCGGTTTTTCCATTCATTTAAACACAAAATCAAAAAACAAAAAAACTAATTATCTGTTTTTTCATTTTGGTTTTGGAGACAAATAATATAAGAAAATAGTTGTTTTTGTCATTTCCCTATTTTTGGTTTTATATTGAAAAACGAATAAACGAATGATACACGGATTTATCAGCACTGGGGAAAACAAATACTGAAAAAAAATTGGGTGCAGCTCTTTTAATTTGCTGAATTACTTTACATTATCAAAACATGAAGTAAAAGAGTGTCCAAAGTATTAAAAATAACCGTAATGAATAATAAAGGACATTTAAAATTGTTCTACAAAGTCTAAACCAAAGCAGAAAATGTATTTAAACCAAAAAAACCCACAAAAACTCGTTGAATCAAAGTCCGAAACTTGTTAACCAAATAATAAACAAATAACTAAACACGGCTACTGCCCTTTTGTTCATTCAAATCAACACAGTCAGACTCTCGGTGGTTCTTTACCTTGAGCATTCGGTCTATGTCTGTTTTCGAGACTTCTCCGATCTCCTGACTCAGTTTGGCCTGTAACATGGTCCTTTTGATTCTGTAGTTTTTAGAAAAGAGCTCGAACAAGACGCGACGAAGCTGCGGACGAAAGATACAAGACGAGAGACGATGTTTAGAGACGAATAACACGAATGTAAAATAAAGTCAAAAAGTGATGTAAACGTGGGTTACCTTGTCCGAGTCCTCTCCTGAATCCCACAAACAAAAGACCTTCTGTTCGTCGGGCGCGAGTGTGGTCTGAGCAGGAAACTAGAGAAGATACAAGAACAACACTAAATATGCAGTAAACGTCAGACATTTTTTAAATTTTCTGGTTAGATTTCACATTAAATTGGACACTTTAATTGTTCTGAAGTGGTCTCACAAAGATTTATTGAGACCGGATCAACTTTTTGCTACTTAAAAAGGTGCACTACGTAACTTTTTGATTGGAGATGTCGTTGCTCTGTCTAGAACACAGGTGTCAAACATAAGGCCCGGGGGCCGGATCCGGCCCTCCAAGACCTTTAATGTGGCCCTCTGCTGATTTTCTACTAAAATATTTTAATTATATTTTCTTTTAAAATATTGTATTTTCTGCGGTGTTTATCACAGCAGCGTCTCCAGCGTCTCTGTACGTGGCCCCTCCCACCAGAGCAGCACAAATGAAGACTTGTCTCTTTCCAAACGCTCTTAAAGGACGATCGTTTTGACTGTTGACCGTGACACCCTCATCAGAAAAATGTCCAACATGAGAAAAGTGGAGCCGAGTGTAGGATTTTCCCCCCAAAAATTGACTTATTCCTATTTACATACAATTTAATGTTAAAACATTGTGTTGAAATTACATTTTTCTTAAAGTTTCAGATTGTTCATAATATTATAATATTTTGTAAAAGAAAGAGTTCATCAATTTAAAAAAGATTTCTGTAATAGATTTGTGTTTCTCTGCACAAATATTTGAACTTATTGTTATTTTGGGGGTTTATATGTCATGAGTTTTCTGATCCGGCCCCTTGGGGATCAAAGTAGGTTGGATACGGCCCCCGGACCAAAATGAGTTTGACACCCCTGGTCTAGAATGTTCCACAGTGTGACATTAAACAGCTCTACCTTACATTTATTCAATTACAGGTGGTTTTATAGCTCAAAAATATCTAGAAAAACAGGAATTCTCCACAGATCGGACGTGTAACTTGGTCTGGCTCGGTTTCCATGAAGATAGAAAGGTTTAATGTCACCAGAAAAGTTACGCAATGCAACTTTAACAGTGTACATCAGGGGAGTCGAAACTATTTTCACCCAGGGCCGAATATTGAAACTTAAAAACGGACAGAAGGACCAAAGATACAAGACTCAAAATATTGCATTTGACGCAAGTTTGACTGAGCCTCCATAACTTAAATTATCCAAGTTCCAACCCTTCTTTATCTTAGGTCTGTTTCACATCAGATTGTTTTTATTTTTAAATCACAATCGCTGAATTTTCCAAAATAAAAGTACTATTTTAACTCATTTGCGCCAATTCAGAAGGATCCCTGAACGCCAACATTCCTTTTTAATAGAATTCATTACTGGCCCTAGTATTTTTTTGCTCTTTATTTCTCCAAGCACTGCCCAGATTAACTAATTTGGGCTGCATCTGTGGGTTTAGGTGTTTAAACCTGAATAAAAAATAATTACTGTGACCACTCCTTGACCAAATGAGCTCATGTCGTTACATCTCTGCTCTGAAAAAAGCACTGGGCAATGAAACTCCACTTTTTAATGAACTTTACTGATGCTTTGTATGTTTTTTTATATTCAGTTTTTCTTTTAAACTATGGACCGATTAATATTTTTGTCTTATACAAGTTACACTGAACTTATTGTTATCTATTGGTTCTTAAAAAAGTAGTCAAAGTCTCCATGGTGGAAGTGAAATAAGTTAAAATTAGGGATGGGCATTCGATGAAATTTTCTTAATCGATCCTCGGAAGAATTAACGATGGATTATCGATTAATCATTAACGTTTTTATATTAAATCATCATTATTATTACTATCTGCACTACTAATCTGCATAAATAAATTCAACTTTACGACATATAAACCGTAACGACTGTTTAATTCAGTTTTGCGCAACTCTCACAGAAACGAAACTTAAAACCGCATCGCTAATTTGCATAAACTAAGCGAAGATAAAACTACAGCTCTTGTGTCGCTGATGCGGTTCAACTTCTGTTGGATTAAAAGACATGACTCAGTGGAATACAGGTTAGTGTGACCATATTTGCGTTTGTCAAAACCAGGACACCGTACGGGGGGAGGGAGGTGGGGACTCGTCATCGACATTGCGCGACTCTCACTTGTCCCGAACGCAACAGAAAGTGTGGAATTTCTTGTACAAATCATCGTTAAATACGCATTTGTGCTTCGGTACGCTGCAGACTGACTGACCGACTGTTTGTGTCTCGCTCCTTCTGATGCAGAGACACACATGTACAGACCCTGTTTGGTGACGCTACGCACAGCAACCTACATTCGGTTTGTCGATTAAAATTAACGTAATCGATGAAGTTCTTAATGATCAATTATCGATTAATCATGCCCATCCCTAGTTAAAATGTCTACTTTAAAAGATGCATTGTGTAACTTTTCTGGTGGAGGGTCTGTAAAATGCTTTTCTCCATGAAGATGCTACTGCTTTGTCTGGAATGGCATTAAACCTTTATCTTCACGGAGACTAGGGCTGGGTATCCTTAAGAATTTGCCGATATGATACATATGTCGATACACAGGCCACGATACGATACATACCTCGATACACAGGCCACGATACGATTCATACCTCGATACAAAGGCCACGATACGATACATACCTCGATACAAAGGCCACGATACGATACATACCTCGATACAAAGGCCACGATACGATACATACCTCGATACAAAGGCCACGATACGATACATACCTCGATACAAAGGCCACGATACGATACATACCTCGATACAAAGGCCACGATACGATACATACCTCGATACAAAGGCCACGATACGATACATACCTCGATACAAAGGCCACGATACGATACATACCTCGATACAGTGCTGTTTCAATTCAATACGATATATTTCAAATTGACTCAATATAGTTCAATAAAAAATTAAAGGCTAAATCGTGGCTGTGATACTAAAAGTCTTTGTTAAACCACTTCTTGTGCAAAGTTAATATGAAACACAAACATTTTAATCCTCAAAACAGTGAAAATGTCAAATGTGTCGCATAAAAGAGTTTCCTTCCTTTGAACAAGCAACAAAACTGTAGCTGTAACAAAATAATTTAGTAAAATATACCAAAAAATACTCTTTTTGATATATATCGATACAGTTGTCCCTGATATCGATACTGTATCATCACATTAAATGATACGATATATGGATATTTTTGCACACCCCTAATGGAGACCAAAACAGGCTAAGTTACAGGCCAGATCTGTGGAGAGGCGACACCGCTCACAGTCAGATTACCTGTTTTTAAAGTTTTTTTGAGCTATTAACCCACTTGTAATTGAATAAATATAAGGTAGAGCTCTTTAATCCGTGTATCATTCGTTCATTCGTTTTTCAATATAAAACCAAAAATAAGAAAACGAAAAAACAACAGTTTTCTTCATTATTTGTCTCCAAAACCAAAATGAAAAAACAGATAACGATTCGTTTTTTCAGTTTTCGATTTTGTGTTTAAATGAAGAATGGAAAAAACTGATAACGGCCGTTTCCCGTTTACGTGACTTCCGTGACTGCGATGCCGAACTTTTGCACCGGGTATGGACTAAACTAGGACTGATCCAGGTCTGAGACCAGACCGGGACTAGAGCAGGACCAGACCAGGACCAGAGCGGGACTGGGGCGGACTCCAAGCTTTGACTCTGAGCCTCCGCGGGGTCCGAGCCTCCGATCTGGTCTTGGTCTTGTCTCTGTCTCAGGCCCGCTCTGGTCCCAGTCTGGTCCCGGACCTGGTCCATTTGAACCAAAAGCTCTTAGTTCGGTTCGTTTTCGTTGGTGTGAAAGCGTCAGTTTGATGCTTTGCACCACCTTGGAACCAGCCGCGGTTCTTGAGCGCGGACGACCGGAGCAGCCCGTCCGGACCTGTAGTCCACAGCGCATTCTCACTTTCCCCACACAGAACCAGTGTGGAGACGATGACACGGAACCGCTCGGACCACTGGTCTCGGTCTCAGTTCCGCTCTGATCCCGGTCTGGTCTCGGACCTGGATCAGTCCTGGTTCAGTCCGTACGCGGTGCAGAAGTTTGACATCACAGTCACGGAAGTCACATAAACGGGAAATGGCCGTTATCCGTTTTTTCCATTCTTCATTTAAACACAAAATCGAAAACTGAAAAAACAAATCATTATCCGTTTTTTCATTTTGGTTTTGGAGACAAATAACGAAGAAAACTGTTGTTTTTTCGTTTTCTTATTTTTGGTTTTATATTGAAAAATGAATGAACTAATGATACACGGATTCTCTTTAATGTCACACTGTGGAACATTCCAAGCAAAGCAACGACATTTCCGTAGAAACAAGCAGGCGATCGAAAAGTTACACAGTGCACCTTTGACTTAGTGCCTTCAGTTCTGTCATAAAAGCTGAGACAGAGGAGTGAGTGATTCGATCTGAGCCCTGACTCCGTGCGGCACAGACTGCAGCAGCGGATTAAGCGTTTGCTGACGGCTAATGAGATCAGCTTCGAGGCTAATCAGGAATTGTGTAACAAAGATGGCGTCCGTCCAGATGCCCCCTGTGCGGCTGAAATCCTCTAAAATCACAGACGCGGGGGGAGAGGTCCAAGGCTGAACGAAGCAACAGATCTGAGCGACTAAAGCAGGAAGAGACTTAACCTTTCACCTTGTTTACAAAATAAGATGACTGGTCGTTGCTACAGATCAACACATTTCGCAAAAGTCCAAGCAAACAACCGGGGAAGGGTCAAATGGTCTAAAATTGACATCAAGATACGAAATAGAAGATTTGCGATAATGTTATAATTGATGCCTTTATGCTTTTAAGTTGCAGTTAATAATATCTGCATCCCCTCCTCATGTATTTTCTCTGTCACTGTGTTTTTAGTGTTTTCAGCACCTAAAAAAAAAAAAAAAACAACAGCGTTTGAACTCTGGATTTGGTCTGAATTCAAGTGGGAGATTAGGCCTGTCACGATAACTACGAAGGTAAGATAGATGATCAACGATAATACTGAAACCAAACCATAATGTAGAATAATCTCCAAAAAATGATTCTAAACGTACAATGCTGTTCCAAAACATGAGCTGCAATAAACACAAAACAGAATGCAACACTTAAGTAGTTGGTTTGTTTCTATAATGAGTCACACAAGTTCATAATTCAGGCTTCTTCAGCTCAAATCTCATCGTATTACAGAAAAATAACCAAAAATTTGATTAGGGGTGTGCAAAAATATCAAAATATTGATATATCGTATCGTTCACTGTGATGATACTGTATTGATTTCATGGATTGCTGTATCGATATATCGCCAAGAGTATTTTTTGGTATATTTTACTTATTTTACGGGCTATTAGGCGCTCTGGATTATAAGACGCACTGTCATTAAATGGTCTATTTTCAAACTTTTTTCACAAATAAACCGTACTGGACTTTAAAGGAAACACAACAGTGTGATGGGTGAGTGGTTTTGTTTGTTTGTTCGTTCACGGTGACTCTGGGCTTTGTTCAGTTGTGGCGTGTAGGGAGGTGCTGTCTGGGACCAACGGATTGTCGGCGTGTTCGCAGTGACTCAGTTGTTCAGTCGTGTCTAGAAGTGGCACATTGCACTCGCTTTTTCGGTTCGTTCCTCCGTTCCGTTCCTCGTCGGCGTGGAGTGATGAGTGTGTCTGTGGGTGTTTTTCGCTGTGCGGTCGCTGTCTGCTCCGTGTGTGTTTGCGTGCGCTGCTGGTGTTTGTAGTTTACTGAAGTCGTGCTGGGACACCCGAGTGGATGCGTGTATAGGGCGCTCTGGATTATGGGGCGCGCGGCCGTTATTTGATGGGGTTAGAGGCTTAAAGAGCGCGTCTAATAGCCCGGAAAATACAGTACTCATTTATTTGTTACAGTGCTACAGTTTTGTTGCTTATTGTAGTGAAAGAAAACTCGATTATGTGACACATTTGACATTTTCACTGTTTTGATGAATAAAATGTGTGTGTTTCATGTGAACTTTGCACAAGGACACATGATTTAGCCTTATCGTATTGAGCGTATCGAATCCAAAGTGCACTGTATTGAGGTATGTATCGTATCGGCAACTTCTTACTGATACGCAGCCCTACCCACGATTAAATACTGACAGCCAAAAATTATAGTTCCATCTCTCACGTATTGAACGATAAGTCCATTTAGTAAATATTATACAAATATCATTATAGAAATTCTGTCCCACTGCCCTGAACATTAAGAGGAAAATGAGCTGCAGATCGAGCGCAGTTGCATCAGATTTCATCACTCCCGATGCAAATGACCTGTAATAAACAATATGATACGGCCCAGCCCTACTAAGAGTATGAATGTGTTTTTGCAAGTGATATTAACATGTTTTAAGATGCTTCAAACCAGCAGATTCATGTCGATGAATTTGTCTCTTTGTTGTTATAGGAGATGCAGTACGTCGGCAGCACGTCAAACATGGTGTGTCATTAAAACAAAAAAAGTTGGGGTGTAAAATTCATCAACATCTTAAGGATTTGTTTTTCCAGAAGACATTTACTGGACATTTACTGTAAACTGCGCTTCTGCACTTTTTTCATGGTTTGAGTGGTTCTGCGACTTATAGTGTGACTCAAAATGTTCAAAGTGAAGCGTCGAGAGGTTCTAGTCTTGTGTGTGAGTATCTGCTGCTCCTGTTCCTCCTGTACCACTGTCACTTGACTCTACTGCACATGTCTCCTGCAGAAAGAGCTTCTGTCCTGTCTGTATCATGTATCATGTCATTACTTCTGCACCACTGAAAATTTAACATTTAAACAAACTTATAAAAACGACTTAGAAGACTGAACACAAATGTCCCCAAAACAAAATCATATTTTGCAGGTTACAAACTGCAAGTAGTGAAATATTCAGCCGAAAACAGTAATCGAGCAGCAGAAAGAAAGTTTGGAGTGAGCGAGAAACCAGGAGGATGCACCATGCAACTTTTCCTGGACTGGACTTCAGTGACACCGAAACCATCCTGTCGGGATTCAGAAAGGCCGGAATAATTCTAACTGGAACTGATGCTGAATCTGACGACAGCGACACAGAAGAGGAAGCGGCGCTCTGTTTACCTCCGGAGGTCGTGGAGTTGCTCAGAAGTGACACCGAGGATGAAGAATTGAATGGATTTAGTGATTTGGAGTGAGATGGAGAGTTTGTTAAAACTTGTTCTGTTCTGTTGTTTATGTTATAGTTTATGTTTATCTGAAGAACTGTTCATATGTGACGTTAACAGTCTGTTGTTCTCTGTTCTATTGTTTTTACTAGAACTTGACTCTCAAGATGAAATGACTGTTCCTGGTCTCTTATTTCATAAAAAAATAAATTTCTCCCCAGAAGTACAACTTATGTTTTTTTCTTCTCCGTGTGACTTAAATAATTTTTTTTTTAGCATACACAATATCAGTTACTGTATTTTTACTGTATTAATATCTGTGCATTGCCACTGTAAATAAACTCACATCTCTCCTTGTTTCCACTGACAGGACTCTTAAACCCGGCTTAAGAGTCTGAATGTCGTAATTTAACCATTTGCCCATTCTCTAAAGTGTAAAACGACACTTCTTTGTTTCCTGTGAAGAGGATCATATTTTCAAAAAATGTCTGGAATTTCAATGGTGAATTTCTAAGCAAAAAGGAATCCCTAATGTAAACAGCATAATTTTCGGTTGTCTTGGTTGAGGTTCATTTTTGCATCATTATTTGAACATCTTCACAGCAGATTGTTATTTTTATTTATCTATGTTTTTTTTTTTTTATTATAGACGATATATTCAGTATTCTAATGAAATATAATCCATGTTTCCATATATTTCCTATTCTTTTGTTCTTTTGTTGTTGTTTTCAGTCCGATGCACAGAGTAAAAAGCCTTAAACAGTAGATTGAGTTACTCTGATCCAGAGGGGAACTGGAGAGCAGGTTTAAAATGCCCCAGTGTCCACACGCCTCAGGTCTGAGGGAATCGACCGTTAAAAACCGTTAATCCGAAAAGGAAACTGATACGACAAAGAAGAGACACAGAAACTCATTGTACAGAGAGAAAGAGGGAGAATCCAGACGAGAGGGTATGAAAAGAGAAAGTGTTTGTTTTTTAGATGGAGTTGTACCTTTTTTCAATTGCTGAAAATTATGTTATAAATCAGCTGTTACAATATCGAGCTGAACAATGTTTCAGCGCACAAGCGGTGGTTTAACAAAAGAAATATTGTTGCTGAAATGCATTTGGTTCTTAAAAAGTAGCCCTATTATGCACAGAGCGATAAGGAGTGAAGGAGAAGAGAGGAACACAGATGCCCTGCCTGAAAGACTGAAAGAAACCAACCTGCGTCAAGTTGACTCCCCATCAAACACAACCCTGCACAAAACTGTCCATTTTTGCAGCACAAAACAGCCAACGAAGCACAAAGTTTTGTTTGTGCTGCTTTAGTTTGAGATATAAACGATTCTTTTATAGGTTCAACTGGGGTCAACCAGTCCCCAGGAAGAATAAAAATGCTCTGAAACAATCCAAAATGGTGTCAACTGCAAAAAGTTTGGTTTGTGCTATGATAGTTATTAAGATACTGTTTTATTTTTGGCCAATGACATCACCCAGGCCCTCAAATTGTTACATAACCTCAAAAACAGCAAGAAATTTATACAAAACGCTTGTATTTCATTTCATTTCTGCGACAATATTTCTAAAATTATTAATTATTATTTTTGTGGAAATTGTATTGCGTCATTTCCGCTAAACTGACCGGCGCAAACTCTGCCACAGCCTGAGATTGTTTATTTTCACTGGTTTTGCAAAGTCTGTATCAGTCTTCAGTAACTTGTTTAATTCATATCTTATATAGTTATACAGACTTTTCCACAGCCTGAGATTGTTAATTTTCACTAGTTTCACGGAGTTTTGCTAATGTCACTGTCGTCGGCTGAGCGGAAATGACGTCATATAATTTCCGAAAAAATAATAATTTTAGAAATATACTCGCAAGTCAAAGTTGTCACAGCACAAAACAGCACAAACAAAATACAAACGTTTCATACAATTTTCTGCCTGTTTTGAGGATATTTAACATTTTGATGGGCTGGATGACTAGAAAGGCTGGCGCCACCTAGTGCCTCCGCTCAATTTCATTTCTCTCCAGCGAACTAGGTCAGGAATCTGAATACACTAGATGATTTGCAAGAACCCCGGAAGTGCGAGTTCGGGCAACAGCCAATCAGCGAAGAGACATACATTCTGTGTTGGCAACGATTCCCGAGATCGACGATTTAAAGCCGAAATAAAGAGAATGTTTGGTGAATTTTATCAAGGGGAAAGACGTTATTGTCCTTCTTCCTACGGGATTTGGGAAAAGCTTAATATACCAGTTAGCCCCGTTAGCGGTGCATTACATACATCAAGACCAAATAGCAACGATTGGTTAAATGAAAAAGTACCCGCCTACCATCGAGCAAACGAATCCTAACGCTGAGAGGTCAGACAGTTTCTACGAAGTGAAACCAGCTGATGAATCAGGGTACTAGATGACGTCATCGGCTGAAAATAAAACTACTAATATCTTAAGAACCATAATCACACAAACGAAACCTTTTGCAGCACAAAACAGCTCAAACGGCTGACACCATCTTGGGCCGTTTTAAAGCATTTTGAATCTTCCTGGGGGCTGGCTGAACCCACTTTGACCTATAAAAGAATCATTAAGATCTCAAAAACTAAAACGGCACAAACACGACTTTTTTGCAGCTCAAACGAAGCACGAAGCACAAAAACGATAGACAAAGATTTTAAGTTTGGGTTTGAAGAAGGACCAACTTCACGGAGGAAAGACACCAGACCTTTTACCCTCCCTTATATTTGGGTCCAAAAAGAAGAACATTTGATTTCGCTTTTGCATCATCGACTTGACTCACTTTGCATTACTAATTTGATCCAATGAACCTGTTAGAGAGACTGAGTACATAAGTAAGTGGATTATACTCACAGGCACGTGGATCTGTCTGCAGTTATTTTGCAGGATCGTGTTCTGAAGCATATGATCGGACATGGACGGCACCACCACCTTCCCGGCCGGTATCGAAGCCACGTGAAGCCCCAAAAGTCTCTTAAACTCACACAGTGTCAATACAAAATACTTCCTAAATATTTTCTTCACAAAGTCCGTCAGCTCGGGCGAGGAGGAGGGGTCGAGGGGGCCGGCTCCGTTACCGTTGGCGTGGTCAAAGTCTCCGTTCATGGAGCCGTTTGAGAGGTAAGGGGTAGTGTCCATGGGCTCCTCTTTGCAAATGACCTTTTTAGCGGCAAGCTCCTTCTTTAGCGTCGACTGGTTGGCCTGAGCGCGATCCTGGGCCATTTTTAAGCGCTGTTCTCCGGAAATATGAACAGGGTCTGGAAATATATGACGAAAAATCCGTTTAATAATCACAAAAGTATAAGATTATTAAGAAATTGTGGATTAATTTAACTTCTTTACCAGGTTGGGGAGAGTTCTTTGGCATGAAGTCTTCTTTTGAAAAATTAAATACTTTTTCCAACCTGAAAAGAAATACATTTATTAGAATTAGCATCTATATTTCTAAAAAAAAAGCACAAGTAAAAACTGTTAAAAGTATAGAGGCTAGAGATTTACTACTGTATTTTTACCATATAAGTCATACTTTTTTCATGGTTTGGGTGTTTCCTGCGACTTATTATTAAAATTTTCACCCTAAAGCCACAAGAGGGCGCTGTAGTCTTGTGTGTCAGTATCTGCTGCTCCTGTTCCTCCTGTATCACTGTCACTTCACTCTACTGCGCATGTCTCCTGCAGAAAGAGCCTCTGTCCTGTCTGTGGTAGTTGCCATTGTCCCCATGTTCAGTGGCCACCATTACTCTCTGCCCATTATGTTAAGCCATGCTGACATGTAAATTTAACATTATTTCTGTTTGTAACATTAACACCTGAATAGCCAATAAAAATATAATCTGACAATTGACGAGCTAATTAACTTTTCACCTTTCATGAACAATGTTGAATATCAATTAGAAACAAATAATTTATCCGTTTCCGCAAATTAATATTCATGATGTCAAAACTGTAGACTGACCTTGCAAATTTCCAACCAAAGAAGTCAAAGCCTAATTTATCTGTATAATATTTGATTTTAATTGTTTCAGAAAACCACACACACACACAAACCAACACATGTATGCAGTTAGCAAATGATTAAAGTTCATTGTCAGAAATAGTTGCAAAGTACTGCAATCAACAGATCGAAATACTTCTGCAGAAAGAGAAAACTGAACACAAATGCTCCCAAAAAGAAAATTATATTTTGCAGATTACGAGCTGCAAGTAGAGAAATATTCAGCCGAAAATGATAATCGAGCAGCAGAAAGAAAGTCTGGAGTGAGCGACAACCGGGATATAACTTCAAGATGAAATGTCTGTTCCTGGTCTCTGATTTAATAAAATAAATTTACCCAAAAAAGTGCGACTTGTAGTCCGGTGCAACTTGTGTTTTTTCTTCTTCATTATGCATTTATTGGCTGGTGCAACTTATACTCCAGAGCCACGTATAGTCCAAAAAATATGGTATGTAGCTTTTCTGGTGTAGTGTGCATCCTCTACTTGAATCCACACTGTGCAATATTTTAGTTGAGACACAAGCAGACTCGCAAATAGAAAAATTACAGGTAACTTTTCAGGTGTATGGTGTGCCACCTGCTTGTCTCCACAGGTATGCTTTGCTTTGCTTTTCCTGTAATGATCCGCAGTATGACATTAAATGTATTTATCTTACATTTATTCAGTTACAGACTGAAGACCAGACAGGCTCATTTTCTTCCGTCTAGACGATTGCAACTCCCTCCCCTCCATGTGTGTTTTAGAATCGATTTAAAGATTTTACTGATCACTTTTAAAGCTCGTTTAGGTCTTGCACCAAGTTACATTTCAGAACTTTTAACCCTTTTAACCCCTGCAGTCTTAGATCGTCAGGCAGGTCCCTGTGGCTGTTCCAAAGTCCAGACTCCGGACAAAAGTGATAGAGCCTTTTCAGCCCGTGCGCCTCGGCTTTGGAACGACCTGCCTGAGGATAAAGCTCGCACCATCAGTATCATCTTTTAAATCACTTCTTAAGACTCATTTTTAATCAGTTGATCTTCCTTTAACTGGTTTTAGCTCGATTTTGTTCTTTATTTATTTTTATTGGATTGTTTGCATCGTTGTCTGTCTTTGTGTGCTTTCTGTTTGCTATTTTTATGCTCTTTGTATTGTTCTTTGCTGCTTGTACAGAACTTTGTAAACCTTGTTTTTAAAAGTACTTTATATACAAAGATTTATTATTAGTAGTGGTGGTATTACAGGTGATTTTTCTTGCTAAAATATCTTGAAAAAAGTGCATTTATATACAGTAGCTTGCCTCTTCACAGATGTAACCTGTAAATTGGCCTGTTGGCATTGCCTGCTCGTCTCCGTGGCAATAGATATGTTCCACTGTATGGAATTAAGCTTTCCAGACTATTCACGTTCATGGATAAAAGCAGGCAGCAGACCCTCCACCAGAAAAGTTACACGGTGCATCTCCACGTACTTGCTCTGAATGCCCATCCACAGCATGTTCTGCCTGTGAGCGATATCCGGGTGTTTCTTTATAAACTCTCGGTCGGTCGGAAGCAAAAACTCCCATCCGCGATTCACCCGAGGAACAGCCACGTGCTCCAGGAACTCCTTCACGTCCTCCGGGGGGAGCTATAGAGCAGGAGACGAGTTTAACACAGACTCTAACGGACTGAGAAGCAGCTGTAGTGTGAGGCTCACTTTTATACTCACTTTTATAACGGAGGTCACTTCCTTCCTCATGACGGAGCGCTCCATTGTGAATCTCCACATCTTTAAAAACAAATTAAAATGTAGTAATTAGAGTACTTGTTAAAATGACAATATAATACAGTCAGTGAAGCTGCAAGTAATGATTATTTTAGTAGTTAATTTGTGCGTGATTATTTTCCAATTAGAAAGTTATCATGACTTAATTACCGATTTTGTTTTCACTAATGGAATTATTTTTAAATGGATTTTTAAACACCAATGACATGTAAACAACTGGCAAATTAAAAAAAAATCTGTAATTATGAAAGCAATCCTCTGTATTAAAACTGTTTCATCTCTTTGCTTGTGGAGAGTCTGCTTACTACTGTTTAGACAAAACAGATTTTATTTTGTGTCACTTTAGAAGTCAGTATTTCAGTCTTCTCTCGAATGCTCAAGGTGAACTGTGTAACTTTTCTGGTGGAGAGTCTGTCAAGTGCTTTTCTTAATGGAGATGTTATTGCTTTATCTGGAATGTTTCTCTTTCTATCTTTATGGAGACCAAAGCAGACCAAGCTACAGGTCAGATCTGTGGAGAGGCGACCCCGCTCACAGTCAGAATGCCTGTTTTTCTAGGTATTTTTGAGCTTTGGACCTGGTTTGGACCTGGAGCATACTGTAAAACATTCCAGGCAGAGCAATGACATATCAATAGAAACAAGCAGGTGATGGACTCCCAACAAAAATGTTACATGATGCACCTTTAAAGCAAAATATGTTATGATATTTATTAGGGATGGGAATGATTAATCGATAATTGATCATTAAGAATTTCATCGATTACGTTAATTTTAATCGACAAACGGAATGTAGGTTGCTGTGCGTAGCCTGACCAAACAGTACATGTGTCTCTCTGCACTCAGAAGGAGCGAGATACAAACACAAACAGTGGGTCAGTCTGCGACGTACCGAAGCACAAATGTGTATTTAACGATGATTTGTACAAGAAATTCCACGCTTTCTGTTGGGTTCAGGACAAGTGTGAGTCCATGTGCACAGTGAACAAAGTAGCACGTTTCGGTGTCCAGTGGGAAAAAGTTTTACCAGGTGAGAGTCGCGCAATGTCGATGACGAGTCCCCACCTCCCTCCCCCCGTACGCTGTCCTGGTTTTGACAAACGCAAATATGTTCACACTAACCTGTATTCACCTGAATCATGTCTTTTAATCCAACAGAAATTGACCGTATCAGGGACACAAGAGCTGTAGTTTTATTTTCTCTTAGTTTATGTAAATTAGCGATGCGGTTTTAAGTTTCGTTTCTGTGAGAGTTGCACAAAACTGAATTAAACACATTATAATGTCAAACGGGCTGATGTGGCTCTAGAGTCGTTACAGTTTATATGTCGTAAAGTTGAATTTATTTATGCAGATTAGTAGTGCAGATAGTAATAATAATGATGATCATTTTAATATAAAAACGTTCATGATTAATCGATAATCGATCGATAATTCTTCCAACGATCGATTAAGAAAATTTCATCGAATGCCCATCCCTAATATTTATTACTTTGCCCATTTTTAAAGCATGGAGCTGCCGGTAGCTCTCCACCACCTTCCAAGTAGCTCGCCAAAGATTTTCTGAATTATATGTACTGCGCTAAAATCTGATTATTACCACTATTAAATTAGGGACGTAACGATATTATCACGATATACAGCTCACGATATTTTGGAGACGCTTTTAAAATACCTTGACAAGATTTTGGTGTGAATTATTTCCGTCAAAATCCCAAGAATACAAGTAAAAAACATATTTCTTCATGTTGTCTGCGCTGAAATGAATCATGGGATATGTAGTTCCCGATGTTCCCGATTGACAATAATAATAATAAAGCTGAACGTTTATATTGCACTCAGGGAATTGTGAGGAATAAAGATTACAATTTTTTTACTCATCTTCATCATTCTTTACATTTTTCTAGTGTTACTAAAGAAAAGGCAGGTTACCACAAAGTCTCTCCCTCGACAGAGCACTTCAGCCGGGACTCCGCTGTGAGCGCTGAAGGTGTTTTTGGGATACAACACGTCACTGAAAAGACAAAACGAGAATGACATTAAAAGACGATAAGAAGCTCAAAAACAGCCACCACTGTTTGCGTTTACTTTACATTCACTTTGTTTCATTAAAAGGGCCCATATCACGTTATTTTCTGATTTACTCCATGTTATAATGTTGTTTCCTCATCATAAACATATCTGGAGTTGTGTTTTGTTTCATTCACACACAAACTGAAAACTGAAAACACTATTACACCTTGTGATGTCATGTGGTAATACAAGTTAAACTCCACTGTGTTTTTAAACTCCACACACCTTCACTAGAATCATTTGGAAGATTCAGCCCTGGAATTGAAAATCTCTACTGACCTAAAGGTAAAATGTTGCGGTAGAGCTGCTCGATTATGGAAAAAAATCATTATCACGATTGTTTTGGTCAATATTGAAATACCGACTATTTAAACTATTATTTTTTAGTTACACGATGCATTTATTCAGCATTTCTCTGTCTCTCAGATAAAAACACTTTATTATTGATAATTTACACAAAACTTTCATATTGAAAATAAATATAGGCTACAAATATGAACCTTAGAGCTGTTTTGCGATATATAAAACATAAAATGAATAAAATATACTTTGAACATGAAATAAGGCAAAGAAAAACATAAATGTATATAAAATAAACTATATATCCAGCTGTTCTACGATCTCTATATTTAAAAAAAATATAATAAATACACTAATTTATATAAAAAGTTAAGATAAATAGTTTCAACTTGATTATGTGAGTTTGGAAATCGAAATCGCGATCAAAATTCAATTAACTGCACAGACTTGACTACATGACATCACAAGGTGGAACAGAGCATTTTGAGCTTTGGAGGTAAGCAGACTAATAACAAAAAATTATCAAACATGTGTGAATGAAACAAAACACAACACCTGGTCTGTTTTTGTTTTAACAAAGCTCACAACAGTCAGTTTTCTAGGTTGTGGTCTTTGTTGGTGAATTCATTTAGAGTAAAACGCAGAGCAAAAACAGGTGTGTTCGAATAATGTTTCAGGCAAATTATATTGCTGAGAGGTTTTGCATGTCTCCGGCATTTGGCCATTTGGCTCACCTCTTGACGACCCAGTTTCCCTGAACCAGCAGCGCCACCTGCTGGATGCACCGCAGCACTGCAGTGGAGTCTGTGCCCGAGGCCAGGAGCCCCATCAGGTTTGCAAAAGGCATCAACTTCACTTTAGAGAGAAAAGAAGTGACAGGGATTATAAAGCAAGTTAGGGACGTGACAATAACCGTATAATAAAAATATATTGAATTACAAGTCTCTTTGATTAGATTAAGAGTTATGGTGCAGCAAAAGACAGAGAAATACATAGACCATGATCCTTTGCTCCGTTTCAGTGTAAACTACATGAAGAAATAACAGTTCTAAGCATTTTTAAGTCTTAGTTCTTTCGATTAAAGGTTGTATGGAGGATTTTTTTTTGTTTCAAATTGTCAATGATAGATTATAGAGGTGCAGTAGCCTTGTAATTATGATGACCAAAAAAAAAGAGAATAAAAATTAATCAACTCTGGACGTGGTGGGGCTAAACATTTGCCAATAGATAACGACACTGCCTCGTTATCTGTGAGCTGACAGGCTGTCAATCAATCTCCCTACGTTTCTAGTGTAACTGACTTGCCTGCGCGCCGCCGGTACGTGGTTTACGTACGACTGTCACGCAGTCCACAGACGCAAGACGCACAGACGCTGTTTACTCCACCAACGCAGCAGTTCTTAGCGGCTTTTTTTGACCTATATCTTCCTCGCAGTTCGCATAAAGTTTGCTGCAATGGCGACAAGAATCCAGGAGCAGTTCGCCGCAAAAGAAAGTCCGTTTTTGAGGTCACTGAAAGAAGAAGACAAGGGGAAAAGCAGCGAAGCCAAACTAAGGTGATTCTTGAAGATTCATTCCAGCGATGGCGCAACTGAAGCAGACGCAGGGTCTAAAGACTGACGCACTGGTCCACAAATTACTCCTGGACAGGAAACTTCTGCTTATTATGAAAACGTACCTTATTTCCAAGAGCTAGACAAACATTTTTCAGGACACGAAAGCGATATCCTATGTCTGAAAACGTCATTTTCAAGGCAAAGAAAGAGTCCGCTTGCTGCTGCGTGTTGTAGCTAGTTCATTCGCACTGAATCTCCGCGCAACCTTCTCTGCACCCCTTTCCTGCTCCTGTCCCCGCTGCCCGATCCGCTCTTCCCCCTGCTCCTCACTTCTCTGGGCACGGAATCTCCGCGCACCGCTCCCCTCTCCTCTCTCCTCTCCTCTCTCCCTGCTCCGCTCTTCTCCCTCCTCCTCACTTCTCGTCCGCGCACGAAATGTCCGCACACCTGCTCCTCACTTCTCCGTCTTGCCTAACCAACACTGTAGTTAGTTGTTTACAAGTCATGTGCAGCTCACCGGCTGTAAACAAACCTGTTTCTGGCGTAAGGAGGAGGAGGCGTTTCTACGTAGGAGCTGTAGGGGAGGGGGGTGGTTTCACACATGCGCAACATTTGAAAAAGGACAAACAGTCGCTGGATTTCTCGTTCCTTGGAAAATCCTCTATACAACCTTTAAGTCTTGTCAAGGCATTTTAAGTGTAAAAAAGCAGCATATTCAGTTTTAGCCTCCACAAAATATCACAATAAATATGAAACTATCGTACCGAAAGATTTGGATATTGTTACATCCCTAATCATGAGCCTCCCCACCATATCGTGAGCTTTACCACGATATCGCAATAAATATCGTACTGTGAGGTTCATACCGTGATGGTATCATTATACCCCTAGTCAGTATTGATAATTTTAGTAGCAGCATTATTAGAGATGGGCAATATATCAGTTCCAGTATCAGTCAGTGTCCATCTGGGTCTTCGATATCAGTCAATATCGATACTCAATACTGATTTTAAAAGTAATAGAATATTCTGCAAATATTGATTTTCAGTCAGAGCAGTAGGAAAACATCAGATACTGGCCCAACCCTAAGTATAACCTTTTCTATTTTCTTAGTCGACTTATATTAGAAAATGATTACTTCTATTGTATACTGACATTTTCTATAAATACAGAACATTTTTAACTAAATAAAAGTTTGAAATAGTGACGGGACTTCATGCAAAGAGAATATTTACAGATAAAGAGTGTTAAGAATGAAAATCAGAAATGGTTTATTCCTTTTTGGTTTAAAAATGTGGCCATATTTGTTAAAAGATATTTTTTCTGTAATTGTATTTTAATCACAGTCATTATCTGGCCTGTACAAATAATTCAACTCTCGACTAGTCACAATTAAGCCAATTAATAGTTTAAGTCTTCGTCGTCCCTTATCAGTAATAAATCTGGAATTAGGACAGTTTTCTGAATTTTGTAAACACTGCCATTTTTTCTTTAATGTATAAAGCTGATCACTGCTCCTCACACACATTTATACCAGGGTTTTTGTTGACCAATTATTATCATGTTTTAGTTGTAAGAAAATGCTTTAATAAATCAGTCGTACCATTCTTCATGAGGGTCTTGACCTGTTCGGCGAGAGGCAGAGTCCGGAGCTGAGCCATCGAGAGGACGTTACTGGGACCAGTCGGCTGCACACTGCAAAAACAAAATATTAAGTTACACAGTCTAGTAAAAAGCAAAAAAATATATATAAACTACTGAAATTGCCTTTTAATATTTATTCCCTTATGATAAAACACAGACTTTGAATGGATGTAATGAAAATTCTTCATCTTAAGACACAGGTGTCAAACATAAGGCCCAGGGGCCGGATCCGGCCCTCCAAGACCTTTAATGTGGCCCTCGGCTGATTTTCTACTAAAATATTTTTTAATTATATTTTCTTTAAAATATTGTAATTTTCTGCGGTGCTTATCATAGCAGTGTCTCCAGCGTCTCTGTACGTGGCCCCTCCCACCAGAGCAGCACAAATGAAGACTTGTCTCTTTCCAAACGCTCTTAAAGGACGATCGTTTTGACTGTTGACCGTGACACCCTCATCAGAAAAATGTCAAAAATGAGAAAAGTGGAGCCGAGTGCAGGATTTTCCCCCCCCCCAAAAATTGACTTATTCCTATTTACATACAATTTAATGTTAAAACACTATGTTGAAATTGAATTTTTCTTAAAGTTTCAGGTTGTTCATAATATTATAATATTTTGTAAAAGAAAGAGTTCATCAATTAAAAAAGATTTCTGTAATAGATTTGTGTTTCTCTGCACAAATATTTGAACTTATTGTTATTTTTGGGGTTTATATGACATGAGTTTTCTGATCCGGCCCCTTTGGGATCAAAGTAGGTTGGATACGGCCCCCGGACCAAAATGAGTTTGACACCCCTGTCTTAAGACATCAAAACTGATGACATGATATATTTAAACAAACAATTCTTACACTTTCTCCTCTGCTTGTGGAGGCATCAGCATGGCCAAGTACTCTCTAAAAAGCAACACATATTTTTACATACATGGACAGTTGAAGTAATAATTTAACAAAGATTGCACTGGACTTACTTTGGAGTTTTGACCAGTTCTGAGTTTTGAGAAGAGTCCACAGACTGACAATACAGATACTGCCTTTCATGCTCTGAACGAGAATCCTGAAATGAAGATTAAAATCAGTAGTTATTAGATAAATCACATTATAATATATTTTCACAAGCTTTAAACACCACTAACTAAAATGATTAAAATCAATGATCAATGGAGTCTTTGTCTAATTATTTAACACTATTCACATTCAAACCATTCTCCCTTTTGTTTACACTGGGTCAGTGACATTTCACACCAAGTATCACTCCAAACCAGGTCTAAACTAGGTGTAAATTTGGTCTCAACCAGGTCTAACTTTGGTCTAAACCAGGTCTAAACCGGGTCTAAATTGGGTCCAAACCAGGTCTAAACCAGGACTAAACAAGGACTAAACAAGGACTAAACCAAAAGAGAACCAGGACTGAACCAGGGTCTAAATTAGTGATAAACCAGAACTCAGTACCAAACAAACCAGGTCCAAACCAGTTCCAAACCAAAATAGAACCAGGACTGAACCAGGGTCTAAATTAGGGATAAACCAGGTCCAAACCAGATTTAATCCAGATCTAAACCAGGTCTACATCAGGTCTAAACCAAAAGAGAACCAGGACTGAACCAGGGTCTAAATTAGGATTAAACTAGAACTCAATACCAAACAAACCAGGTCTAAACCAGGTCTAAACCAGGTCTAAACCAGGATCTAAACCAGGTCTAAACCAGGTCTACTCCAGGACTACTCCAGGACTACTCCAGGACTACTCATCAGTGATCGCTGCGTTGCTCTGAGGTCTGACCTTGATGCCGTGGTACCGCAGGTGGACCCAGGGCTCCTCAGCATGTTTCTTTTGGAGAAACTCGTACGACTGGATCCTCCTCTGACGCGCCTGCTCCGACTCAGGGCGAGCAAACCTCACCTGCAAAATAAAACGGACTCAATAAATGAAACAGAAACAGGTGGTGGACGCCCAGAGAAAGGTTAATTTGTTCCCTTTTTACAATAGTGCATATACAGAGAAATATTTATGCTTTCATTTTATTTATAATAAATCTTTGTGTTTTACCGTTATGGCCTTGGCCTCTTCCTCTGCCTCGTCTTGGGAAGAATCTCCACCTACAAAACAACATATTTATAAAACTATTAACTGTGGTACAGATCTCCTCAGGTGTATGTAGAAACACCTATGGAGTGTTTTGTGTATATTTTGTAAGATTTTTTGTTATTTAAATGTCCCACAGTAATCAAAAATTGTTTTAAGTTATGTGCATGAAAATATAATCCATAATATATAAATCTACTATCCATTTTTGTATGTGTATAGCGTTCACTGATGTTTTCTGCAAATACGTTGGGAGTAGAGGGACACGACTGAGAATCACCGATCTACATTAAAACCATTTTGAACAGAACCCACCCTCCTTCTCCGCCTCCCTCTCCCTGGTTTTGTTGTCGGCTTTGTCCAGGTAAGAAAAACTGGGCCTCATCTGAAGGATTCCAGTTAAAGGAGTGACGTGAAGTTCACCTGGGAAAGATACAAAAAAATATTCAGATTTATAGAGGCAACAAAAAGGTGAAAACGTGACTTGTGTAATATTAAATTTGTAGGAAAATAAAGTGTTTGAAATGAATGAACCTTTTCTAAACACGGCTGCTGCGTATCGAGACGTGTTGGTGGTGGCCTGGATGGAGGAAAAGGTCTGTTTGTCCATCATTTTCCTGAAAAAACAAACAACAAATAAATGCAAATGGCCACAACTGTATGCAGAGTTGTTATATTTACAAATGTGTGTATTGATTTATGGCCTAATCTAGCAAATCAGATGCACGGGGACAAACTAATTTAGATGTGGCTGCCATTCTGAACAAATACAGGGTGTCCCCAGGTTTGAATACCTCAAATTTAAGACCTTTTTAAGATCACTTAAATGAAAATTAAGACCAACATCACACCCATTATGCGGGCAAAAAACACCAGATCCAATTCTAATAATGACCAATCAAATACTATGTCTAGAATCTAAGACCCACTGTGGATTAAACCTACACTTCCCCATGATCCATCCAACGTCTCCCTCCACTCTGCTGATCGTTTACTCATTGCCGCCGCCGCCAGAAACCAAAGTATTGTTTGCGCAGACTCCAAATTAGACGTTCATTCACGTTATTGTTTTTTTTTTCCTCCCTCTCCTTAACATTGCACTGCAGCCCAGTTAAGTTTACCAAAAAACAGGATAATGAAATTTAAGAAAATTTGTGAAAAAATAAGACTTGGCCAACATAATTTAAAGACTTTTTAAGACTTTAAAAACCCTGCCTGAAATGACTTCTGCCCCACAACCAAAAACACAAATACATTAAAGTTCATAAAGCATTCCCACGCTTTAAAATTTCAAAACTTTTTCATGACTTTTTCATGACCTAAAGTGAATTTTCCATGACTTTACGGCACCTACATGTGTAGAATTGATCAGACTTTTAGGGCTAAACATGAAATGTTAACTTTTCCACTCTCCTTATGGTTTGGTATTATAGTTTTTTAACATTTAAAATACTGTCAGTGCATTTATTGTCGTCCCTTTTAAACAAAAGGCACAGACGTTCAGAAATAATCAGAAAAGCCTCATGAGAACTTAACAGAACGCTGTAGTTGCTTGAAAGAGATACTAAAATTCCATGACTTTTCCAGGAACCAGGACTGAACCAGGGTCTAAATTAGGAATAAATCAGAACTCAATACCAAACCAGGTCTAAACCAGGTCCTGGAAAATTATATTTTCAATTTCCACGACTTTTCCACAATTCTATGACCGTGGGAACCATGTTCATATAACGAGTTAACTACATTTTAGTGAAATGTGTAGTCGAACATAATTTTACTAGCTTCCCCTAGTTAATTTTGGTGTTAACTTTATAATTTGCCTTCCTGGTTGGACACGGGCAGCAGATAAGACGTATGTAGGGGTAATCTCATAACTTTTACCTGTTACTGCAACCAAAATGTTAAAAGAGGTTTTCTTGAATAATGTAAAAAAAAACAAAACACCCCAGGTACAACCACACTAAATTAATGAATAATTAAAAGGTGTTCATGAGTGTCACACCCAAAGACACATGATATATTAATTGCCTTTTTGCTTGTACCATTTTAAGATAAAAAGATTAATGTAAACCAACCAGTGAATAAAGGCCTCAGTTTTCTGCAACAACTTATAAACTCATTTAATTTCAAATAAATGTGAAATATTAAACGTACACCGAGTATGTGTTGCTTTCGTCGTATGAGGTTCCGTCCACATTCAGAGCGATCTGTTCTCCTTTACTGCGGCAGTAGTTTGGGCTCATCGTGTCCATGGCCATCTCCAGCTCCAACTGAAAACAAATTACAACTTTTAATTTCATGCTTACCTGTAGTGTATATGCACTACCAAAACTACCAAAAGTTTGGACACACCCTCTAATTCAATGTTTTTTTCCTCTTTATATTTACTACTTTTCTACATTTCATGACTACATGACGTTAAATACGTGGAAAGAATGTGGTTTGTAGTCAATAAAAAAAATGAAGTAACTCAATAAAATAAAGTACCATATTTTTTGGACTATAAGCCGCTCTTTTTTTCATGGTTTGGGTGTTTCCTGCGACTTATATATTAAAATTTTCACACTGAAGCCTCGAGAGGCTCTAGTCGTGGAGTCATGGAGTTGCTCAGAAGTGACACCGAGGATGAAGAATTAATGGATTTAGTGATTTGGAGAGAGATGGAGAGTTTGTTAAACTTGTTCTGTTCTGTTGTTTATGTTATAGTTTATCTGAAGAACTGTTCATATGTGACGTTAACAGTCTGTTGTTCTCTGTTCTGTTGTTTTTACTAGAACTTGACTTTCAAAATAAAATGTCGGTTCCTGGTCTCTGATTTTATTAAATATATTTTGCCCGAAAAGTGTGACTTATATATGTTTTTTTTCTTCTTCATTGTGCATTTTTTGGTTGGTGCGACTTATACTCCAAAAAATATGGTAGCTACCCTTTGCTTTGTCTACAGTGCTGCAAACCTTTGGTCTTCTCTCAATGAGCTTCATGATGAATTCACATGAAATGGTTTTGACTTCACAGCTGTGCCTTGTCAGGAATGAGAAATACCAAAAGTGCAAAGCAGTGATCAAAGCAAAGGGTGGATTTAAACACAATTAAAAAAAAAACCTCCCGAGTTATTTTTAGCTTATTTTTGTTTACTACATTCCATATGAGTTCATTCATAGCTGTGACGCCTTCAGTGTAAATCTACAGTGTAAATAGTGAAGAAAATAAAGAAAGAACAAAACTGAAAAAGTATATGAATGCATGAATGTATGTACTGTATGTTTCTTCTTCGTGACTTCTTACCCGTTGCTGTTTCGGTTTGATTTTGGCACCAAGGTGATTGACGTCATCATAGTTCATGGAGGAGGGCCTGACCGGGTACTGTGTGAAACAAACACAACGGATCTGGTTTAATCTCAGGACAAAAGCCAAAGACACAGAAGGACTGACGTTTTTTCTGTGACTAAGGTGGCACTGAGGGCACCGGTAATTCATATTAAAAGCATCTGAGAGCAGAAATGTCAGCTAAAGACCAAATGTAACTGTAAAGTAGGACTAGTAATTATTTTAGAAGTCAAAAGTTTGCAATATTTTTTCTACACTGACATTTTAAAAATACAGTTTTAACCAAATCAGGATTAAAATATGGTGACTGAAGGCTTCTAGATAGAGAATATTTATGATTAAAGAGCATTATTGATTGAAAATCTGAAATCGTTTATTCTTTTTTTTGACATTTTGATTTTATAATGCCACTGCAGTTGAGCCTGTATAATCCAAATAAAAATACTAGTCAATTATTACATTATCTGGTCATATATTTCAACAATTATTAGTCTTAATTATTCAATTTTCTCCTCAGTCTTTATAGTTTTTAAAAGCACAATACAAAAATACACAATTAAAAAGCAAAAAGTGTTGTTTTTCATACAAATTTTCTGCCTAATTTGAGTGTGGGGGAGAATATTGGACAATAAAGGGGCCATTAGTCTACTACACAAGCAAGATAATGTCATAGAGATTGAATAAAATAAATACGTACCTGAAGAAGATAGAGGTTTTCGGCCAGACTTTTGGCGAGATAAACATCGATCTAAATAAATAAAAACAAAAAAAGTTTAAAAATGACTTGTAATATTCTAGTGAAAGGCTACAACATCTATTTAAGGTAATGGAGTAACTGTGAAAGCTGGATAAGTAAATGCACAACAATTAGGGGTGTGCAAAAATATCAAAATATCGGTATATCGTATCGTTTAATGTGATGATACAGTATCGATATCGCGAGCTGCTGTATCAATATATCACCAAGAGGATTTTTGGGTATATTTTACTAAATTATTTTGTTACAGCTACAGTTTTGTTGCTTGTTTAGAGGAAGAAAACTCATTTGTGTGACACATTTGACAGTTTTGATGATTATACTGTTTGTGTTTCTTATGAACTTTGCAGAAGAAGTGGTTAACAAAGACTTTCAGTATCACAGCCATGATTAGCAATTTATTTTTTTTTTAAACTATATATTTTGAAATATATAATAATCGTGTTGAATCGAAAGTTCACTGTATTGAGGTATGTATCGTATCAGCAACTTATTACTTAATGATACCAACCCTTGTAATAATGGTAAAATTGTAAAACTAACAAATTACAAAACAAAATGCATTCCTTCCTAGTTTGTCTTTTACTGTGTCCAAAAGTTTTCGTAATCCTAACCTACTGAAATATTTAACAAAACCCGTTTCTACATAACTGCTTGCTGAGACAGATAAACGGCCTAGACTTACTTTGTTACGCTGTATTTTGTTCACAAACAAAGACAAAAGTAACAGTAATTTTCATGGTATCTCTTTGTCCGACCACGAACTGCGATTACGAGGTTAATTTGGTTAGAGCTCGACTGTCTGGTCCGGAGAGACGGAAGTGACCGTGTAGTTCTTGTTGTGTTTGCTTCTGTTGCTATGGACAAGCCTAAATTATGAGTTTTATTTTATGGTCGATATAAGGCTAGTGGGTGATAAGTACTTTTTTTTTTAAAAGATACTTCTCCTAACATGTAAACTAAACCATAACATTTTACAAACCCTAACCTTACTGGTAGATAGAGACATGCACATCCAATAAACGTTGTGATTGTATGCTGGGTCCAAAGACAGAAATTACATTAAAATAAAAAATTTGGGAGCTTCTAAGAACTGCAGTGTGGATTTCTTTCTTCTTTTGCACTAACCCTAACCTTAACCATTTCCCTCACCTGAACATACACTGCCAAAACTAAAATCTAGCCAAGTTAAGATGACTTGAATTAAGAAAGTTTTGTCATGATTTGAGTAAGCAAGAAAAATGATCTGCGAATAGAATACGACTTTTTGTACTAAAAATATGAAAATACATCAAATCAAATTATATTTATAGAGTGCTCTTCATTTAAAAATGCAACACAAAACACACAACTGAAATATACAACTCTTTGCGCTTAAAATAATAATCGCAATCAAATGTTGCTTGAATTAAGAAAAACACACTTATTCCATTGGTAGATGATTTTACTATTTCAAGTTGAATCTGCCCAAATAAAGTAAAATGCTTTTAATTTAGGTCTTTGTAACTTACCTAGATATAGCTTTTTGCAGTGTAACCCTAACCCTAACCTTAACCAAAACAGTTTTCTAAAAAAATAAAAAATAAAATACCCCTCTTCATAATTTCATCATTTTGAATTAGAGCTCGGCAATATGGACAAAAAATAAAATCTCTTTTTTTGCACACACTGGACAATTACGATTTTAACTGAAGTCAGAGCAGAGACTGTACTTTCAAATGGAAGAAGCTCTCCACATTTCCTTTTTTCATTCTAATCACATCCTATTATTTAAGACGTTGTAAACTTAAACCTTACATTTTGTATAGATATCTAATTGTAACTGCACAATAACTCTGCAGTGCAAGTAAGAAAATCAGGAGTAAACTTGTTTAAAAGGTGCATTGTGTAACTTTTCTGGTGAACGGTACTTCAAAAGCTTTGACTTGTACATAAACATTTATATAATTATGCCTTATTGACACCAATTTCTTGCTACTTATTTAGAATTTATTATTACCATTTATACTTTTTACTCTTTGTTATTATATTATATTGTGAAGCCTGAGTTACTGTGTCCAAGTAATTTCCCTTGTGGATCAAGAAAGTTTGTTTAACTCTAACTCCAAGATGTTATTGCTTTGTCTGGAATGTTTCACAGTCTGATATTAAACCTTTCTATCTTCATGGAGACCAAACCAGGCCAAGTTACAGGTCAATTCTGTGGAGAGGTGACCCCACTCACAGTCAGAATACCAGTTTTTCTTGGTATTTTTGAGCGATATTTAAATACATGTAAGAGCTGTTTAATCATCAATTCATCATGTTGAACACTACAGGCAGAGCAATGACATATCCAAAGAAAAAAAGCAGGTGACAGACCATCCACTAGAAAAGTTACACAGTGCACCTTTAATAATACTTTTTCATGAATGACTGAAACCCTGAATTAATCAATTATTTGCCCAACCCTATTCAACACTCTGGCATTAACCTTTTACCTTTAAAAATTACTACACACACTACAACACTGTCGACATTTACACGTGACTTCACACAGGTAATTGTATTTATAATTACATTAAATTACACACCTCTTCTATAATGGGGTCGTCATCATCTCCACTGGCCATCATGACAACCGTGGACTCACAAACCAAACCACGGGAAGGAGGAGAAGTGGCCGGCAGCAGATCTCAGGGACCTAACCTGGAAACACGGAAGGAAAAAACACAGAATTAGTGACAAACTTTTGGATAATTCCCATGTTTCTGAGCAAGTTTGGATAGATAAAAAAAAAAAAAAAAAACCTGCACCATGACATCACCATTTGCATTGTAGTGATTCAGCAGATACTCCAGGCCTACTCTGAAGAAAGCTGAGGGTTTAAAGGCAAAAAAATAAATGCTTTTTGATGTGATCTGTACCCTGGACTTGCAAACTAGTGAGTTTCTGATAAGATAATGCAAATCTATCAGCTGATGCTAAAGTGGTGGAGCTAATTAACCAGGTAAAAGGCATGATGCAATTTAAAGGACTGCTCACGTGTTAAACTTAATGTAACACGTTATAACACACCCAAAACAATAGATTAACAATTTGGACTAACATTAGAGCACGATTTAAGCGCGGAAACAGCTGATTTTATGTGAAAGTGTGTTACTTTGGCCACTAGCATCACACCGGTTCACATTGACTAGGCCTTCTTTAGTCAATGTACGGTTTTTGACTCATTTAAAAGGCAAATATAAAGTGTTTAATCGCGCTGCTATTAGATCTACAACTAAATGCGTGCTACGATTAAGCAAAAACGTGACTGTCAAGCGAAAAAGATGGGAATAGTCAGCACCTAGCGTTAGCATTAGCTCCGGATGCTAAGAAACACATGCCAGGCTAAATGAGCAAGAAAGACACAATAGCGTGAAATAAAGGAGGTTTTTGGGTTGTTTTTGCACCTGCACACTTCGCGGGACACCGGTGGCTATCTCATCCGCGTCGGGTCGGTGTCACGGCGGCTTCTGGTCGGTGTCTGTGCCCGCGGGGACTAGCACATCTGAGTTTCTGTGAAGTGTTGACTGCTTCAAAACACGTGGGGAGGAGCTCGTGCCCACAATTCAAAGCGCTGAACAGATTTTTTTTTTTTTTTTTTAGGGGTCAACTTTACATTTTTGTGAGTCAGTTTTTTCAAGAACAAGCCACAACCCGCTGGGAGAGTCAGTATCCCAGTATTGGCTTTGTTATTTTGTGTTTTCAGCCCCAAAATGTTTTCCTGGCAGCGGTGGGATTCGAACCCACGCCATCGAAATGACTGGAGCCTTAATCCAGCGCCTTAGACCGCTCGGCCACGCTACCTTACGTTCTAATTAAAATATGCAAATTTGTTTACGCAAAAAAATACGAGCTTTAAAATATGTTGTTTACGTTCTTGGGTGCAAACTAGCAGCAAATGCGCGCAACAACTAAAAACTCACATGCGGAATTTGATCAAACCTGGCAACAAGCTGCAGTTTTACAGAAAATTTTGATGTGAATAAAATAGTACAAAAGTTACAATGATGGTACAAAGAAGCAGTGAGATAATTAGAAGTGTAGTTTTGCAGTTGAACCACCAGATGGCGTAGTTGTCACACAAATGAGTCAGATTCGTTTGCGTGTGCGGCGTCTCTGCCCTCTGCTGGACACAAGTGGGATTGACTCTGTGTGAAGCCCATAGACCAGGGGGTCAAACTCATTTTGGTCCCGGGGCCGTATCCGGCCTACTTTGATCTCAAAGGGGCCGGATCAGAAAACTCATGGCATATAAACCCCCAAAATAGCAATAAGTTCAAATATTTGTGCAGAGAAACGCAAATCTATTGCAGAAATCTTTTTTAATTGATGACGTTTTTTTTTTTTTTTTTTTTTTTTTTTACAAAATATTAGAATTTTATGAACAACCTGAAACTTTAAGAAAAATGCAATTTCAACACAATGTTTTAACATTAACTTGTATGCAAATAGGAATAAGTCCATTTTACTTGGAAAATCCTGCACTTGGCGTCCACTTTTCTCATTTTTGACATTTTGCTGATGAGGTCAAAATGATCGTCCTTTAAGAGCATTTGGAAAGAGACAAGTATTCATTTGTGCTGCTCTTGGTGGGAGGGGCCACGCACAGAGGCACTGGAGACACTGCTGTGCTAAGCAACGCAGAAAATTACCAATATTTTAATAGAAAATATAATGAAAATATTTTAGTAGAAAATCAGCCGAGGGCCAGATTAAAGGTCTTGGAGGGCCGGATCCAGCCCCGGGCCTTATGTTTGACACCTGTGCCATAGACCGTCTGTGATAGGCAATTATTGGGCAATTATTTTTTCCATGGGGCCACATGAGAAACAGAAAATATTGTGAAGGGCCGGGCCAAAATGCTTAACTAATTTCTGCATAATAATAATTGCATTTCTTTATAAAAAAAGCAGTAAATGTCATTGTTTTGACGAGCTTGTAACGCTGGTAATGAGTTTATGTTGTGACTAAGCAATGAAAAAGTGAGGTTGCCTTAGAAAAAATGTGATTAAAAAACACTTCTAAAATAAAAGCAATACAGCTTTAGTCCATGCACGAGGTAAAATGATAAAATATGTTTATTTTGTAATTCCAAAAGCGCTTAAACGGGCCGGTCAGAGTCAACCAAAGGGCCGTATGTGACCAGGAGCTGGACAATGCCCAACTCTGGTCTGTGGTGAGGCCTCGTGACCATAGACCAGAGATGGGAACAAGTCTTTGTTTTGCAAAGTAAGTCTCAAGTCTTTAACCTCAAGTTCGAGTCAAGTCCCAAGTCAAATACAGGCAAGTCCAAGTCGAGGCTCGAGTCAGTAGCCCATAAGTCCATGTCAAGTCCAAGTCGTCTGCTTTGAGCTTCAAGTCATTTCAAGTCATTTCAAGTCTTTAAACCAAAGCTTAGATTTTTGCAATTTATATGAATTTTAAATTAAATTGCACTTAAAATATCATAGTATATTTGTATATGAGTATTTTTAGAGTATGTAAGAGTTGTAGAATTTAATTTACGGTAGTTCATGTTTCCTTTATAAATGTCTTAATAAGATCTTAGTGTGAATCATTACGGTCAGAATAGAAAGAATTCAGATTTAAAAGTGCCTCTTAAGTCTTCTCAAGTCACAAGCCTCAAGTCGGAGTCAAGTCCCAAGTCACTGACCTTCAAGTCCAAGTTGAGTCCCAAGTCTATGTCCATTTTATCAAGTCAAGTCTCAAGTCCTAAAAATAGTGACTCAAGTTTGACTCGAGTCCAAATCACGACTTTCAATCCCAACCTCTGCCATAAACTGTATATAAAAAAATAAAAAATATGTATTAAAAATCATATATATGGTCTATTCTTGTGATAAATGAATAAACAATTAAAAACTATAAACAGAATAATAAAAGTAGATCTGCGGTCTCGACTGCAACACCAGCTCTGCCCTCATTTCAACCACAGTTTCAAATGTCTGTATTGTTCATCAGCGAGTACAAATCTGTCTCTATACACAACATGCAGACTATATTCCACTCGTAAGAACAGAAATAAAAAAGCATAATAAAATATTTTAAAAGTGACATAATTTATTAACTGGGCAAATTTGGCTCTTTATTTTCGCAACAATGCAGGCCAGTGTTGAGATGACGTTTTTGTAGCCCCGAGAGTCAAATGTCTGAGAGCTTCATAACGTCACATGTAATTTGATAAATGGTTTTGAATTCTGTGGGTCTTTTCTATCACAGTTTACAGGCTCGGCACAAAAGACCCACTGTAACTATTGGACTGGCAAAGAAACCATGTTATAAAGTTATATTCTGTGTTATTTGAATTCTTAAAAATAGATACGAGATGTGTTTTATCAACCATGTTTTATTTAATTACATTGACATTCTGAAAGCTATTGACATGACATTAATACAAGTCAAATAAAACGAGGGAATTGTTCTCAAATTAAAAAAAATAAAAGTTCCTCTATGAATCTTTGTCATGCAGATGGAAAGTATCTTGGAGCTAAATCCGGAGCAGAGCAGCTTTTGTCTTTTCTGTGCACTGTCCTTGTTTTTAATAAGTAAAAGTACAGACACAGGAGCAAAAAAATATTCAAGTAAAAGTATCACCTAAACAAATACTTAAAGCTACCATCTGTAATAAGAATGGCTGACCCGTCCCTGTTGTATTCTCACACACCACCACTAGATCTTGTTGACGTTACTGCAGTTTGATGGTGTGTCGGCTTTGGCCTGACGGAAGAAGAACAGAGAGTAAAAGTGAGACTGAACAATGCCAGGAGAGACGCCATCTACTGGAAGAAAAAAATTAATAAACTTATGAATGGTAGCTTTAAGCAATGTATAAATACTAGGGGAGTAACGGCACACAAAAATCACGGTTCAGTATTTACATCGGTTTTGAGGTCACAGTTTGGTTCAATTTTTGATAAAGTATGGGAACAAAATGCAGAACTATTTGTTGTTTATTTATTTATTTATTTTTTAATGAGACAGGGACAGTGCACCATTTACATTAACCTCAACAGGAGAGCTGCATTGTACCAGGTTGTAGCACCAGTGCTGATTTCCACCTGTTGTCCCTGGACAGGTTCATTGATTGATTGTATTTAATTGACCTTACCTGTCAACTGTTCTTATTTATGTGTTTATTAAACCAACAATTAGTTTTAACATTAAACAAATGGGAAAATAAAATAAATGCTAAGTGCTGCTTGGTAATACTAATGAGTTAAATACATATTTTTTTTTCAAATAAGCCACAAATGTATGAAATATTATAAAAAAAATAAATCCCTTTTAAACAGTAAACAAAACTTTTCAAAAAGTAAAGTGCAGCACTAACAGTTCCAGCATGAAGTTTTACTCAGTCTTCATGTTTTTGACCAGAAAAAACATCTTGTCCACACTGTCTGTAGTAAGTGCAGATCTGCTGCAGGTACAATGCCCCCAGTGACTGAAAATCGGAAAAGCGCGACGACCGTAGTTTTGTGAAGATTCACGTGGTTCGGAGGGACATAGTCAAGGCGAGGGGCAATTGTTGTCAAGGCGGCTGCCCTAACTATAAAGCGCTGCTGGAAACACTGACATCCCAATTACAGACGAGTTCCTTTGTGAACATTAAAGAGCCGAGCCTCTGTGTAGCTGCACATGTAGTGGTGGAATGTAAACGCACACAAATTGAGCGAACTCACTCGTGCGCAGCCCTGCACCGAACCAAACATCCCCTAATGAAACGCGTTTGGGGGGCGCGTTTTGCTTTTTGAATAAAAAAAGCGTCAAAAAAACGCCTTGACGCCTCTATTTGGACGCCTTTGCATTTGAGTTTAGACGCCCCCGACGCGCATCTTTGACGCCGTGGACGAACGGGACAAAAATACTTGACGCGCGTCCGTTGCCCTGGAAACAAGAGCCCGGTTCCGCTCTTTTCCCGAAAACAATGTCAGACCAGACTGAGAGAGTTTTTTATGACATAAAAATCAAAGGAGGAGATCGGGTCGACGATGGGGCGTATATATATTTCTACTCCGCTAATGACACTGGACAGTCCCGGTCTAGTCCTGGTCTAATACCGGTCTGGTCCTGGTCTATCACGGTCTAGTCCCGGTCTAGTCCTGGTCTAATCACGGTCTAGTCCCGTCTAGTCCTTGTTTAGTCTCGGTCTAGTCTCGGTCTAGTCCTGGTTTGGTCCTGGTCCGGCCTGGTGTATTCCTCGCGATCGGCTCGGTGATTATGGCGTATATATTTATTCTCCGCTCATGTTTGTGGTTCTCGTTCTGGTTCTCGGGTCTTTCTTCCTGATAATAACGTCGCTTCTCTGGATACTCCTCCCTGATTGGTTGACGCGGCGCGTCTGACGCGAAAAGTTCAGCATTTTCAACTTCTTGACGCTGACGCCTTGGACGCGCGTCTTGGCCGCTGACGCCAAAACGCTGAAGACGCGCCGCGCTGACGCCAGATTCGCGCCGCGCTGACGCCGAAAACGCGCCGCAAAAACGCAGGACGCTCTAGTCGCGCGTCCACATAGACTTTACATAGAAAGTGCAGCCGACAGCAGCCGACAGCATGAAGCCCAATAAA